TTTCTTTTCTTTTGTGGCTTCCATTTTCTAAGATAGCATAGCAATTGATTCTAGTAGGATAACTTGAAATCCGCCCTAATCAGCCACATAGTATTCTATACCACTTGCCAGCGTATTTTACATCTTTGCTTGGGGTTTGACCCTCGGAGCCCGGGTATTTCAGTGCTTTGCTCGAAAATAATCGTCGGCCATCTCATGTGGGCCATAAAGGAAGGAGACTATCAATTAAGGGCCCAACTAAACTTTGCGCTTGTAGGAACATCACTCTTCCAGCTAGTATACTTGAACGATAACCTTAATACCTCCACTCAGCATACTCATTTCCTAGCTCTCCGTTCAACGAGTACGAGTCTTTATTGCACCTATATATGGGAGCAAGTCTGTATAGTTGATATATAGATGGCGATACCTAGATATAGGCGTAGTGGAAGCCATCCCGTGGATATTTTTGAAGGTTTGTAGACGTTCAAGTGCGGTCTTTAGACCCCCCCCCCCCCGGGGGTGTCTACAGATTTACTCACCTGGCAGTCTGCTTACAACTCTCATACTTCAAATGACCAAAACAACACAACAACATCTTCTAAAAATTCAATTGGCGCTTCACTATTAGCAACTGGAGATATAGGTATCATGTTTACAAGCCTTATTCTTTCCCCACTGTCGAATGGGGAAGCGTTGTGCTCTGGTCTTGTTTTACAGAATTTGATGTGGTGAGCCGTTGCTATGCAAGATCTATAAGGCTTCAGGTTTGAACACCTTCAGAATATCCACGGGGTTGCAACTGGAAGCCTTCCCGTGGATATTCTGAAGGTGTTCAAACTTGAAGCCTTGAAGATAAATTACAGATCTTGCATAGAAACGGCTCACAACAACTCTGTAGACACACCCTGGAGGGATCTACAGACCACATTTGAACGCCTACAAACCTTCAAAAATATCCCCGGGATGGCTTCCACTGTTCGGTTAATACAATGCTGGATACAATGACTATATTTGAACAATGATATATGTACTCCATGCAAGTACACACTTTCATTTATCATCCAAAAAGCAATTGATCGTTACCCTTAAGTTTTAGACTATCATTCCATAGATACATGTATTTATATAACCAAGGGAATAGGTATAGAAGTCTATCAAAATATATCAACCAATCTTTTCCAATCATTTCCCCAACCCAAATCTTGATGGCAGGAGTCGACCGCCAACAGCCTCTGTAGATACGTAGTACACCATAAAAATCGAGTCACTACTATTGTAGTTTTGATTTTTAGTCACAATTCTCCGGATGGGATGGGCTACACCCTCCAAAACTTTAACCTTATCATGTTGACACCACTACTATATTCGGAATAGTGAATAATACGGATACCGCTGCACATATACCGAAATCATGATCCACTGAAATCCAAGGAAAAGAAGTTGGGATTCCATTACTTGTTCTCATTTTTATATTTTTCATTTTGTTTTCTTATGGCATGAAGCCAGGCGGCGGAAAGGAGAGCAGTATCATAGCTGGATCATGGAAGGCTACATGTGAACCAACCAATCAACCAATTAATTAGACTTCTGCGACCGAACCCCTAATCCTAGGGATAAGACTTCAGGTATTCTCATAGTCGCGGGGTTGCATACAACCAATGACTTAACAAACCGAACAACAAACAAACATAGTTACCGTTGGATAGATCTCGAGTGATATCTGATGAGTGTCGAGACGCCTGGTACGAGTGATAGTTGATGACTAGGATATATCTTTATCCGCCCCATGCTCGAATGCTTCTGGCACCTCTTCGGAATACGGCAGTAAACCCCCGGACTTAGCCGCCAGAGGTAATCTACAATGGTGATCTACATTATAAGTGAAGGACACTAATAAAAAATCGATGTCAAAAAGCTATTTTTAAAAAGTTATTTTTAAAAAGCTAGGTTACAAGAATTAAACGCATAATCACTCTAGATCAATCCCGAAAAAAACATTTTTGTCCCCTCTCCCTACAACTGGTTCGCTGTGTTGAAGTCCTCTAGGGCCTCTTTAACACGAGCGGACATGGTCTTTTCACCTTCGCGAACCCAGACTCGAGGACTAGTAATTGCTCAGTTAGTTTAAGCGCATGTTAGAAAGCTTGAGTTTTATCACTTACTCAAAGTATTTCTTGTTTGGCTTGTCGTCGCCATCCGGATTGCCAACTTGCTTCATGATGTAGTCGGTTTTGCTCACTAAGGAGCTAGTTAGAAATCGTCTACTCAAGGTAGGGTCGAACTAGGCCACTTACAAACAAAGTCACGAATACCAGTGAGATAGGCATACTGCAGGTCAGTATCTAAATTAACCTTTACCACGCCATTCTCAATGCCCTGCTTGAATTCATCCTTTGAGCTGCCAGAGCCACCATGGAAGACCAAAAACAGAGGCTTCGACTCGTTGGAGTTAATCTTCTCCTTTGTGTACGCTTGATGCTTACCAAGCAGCTCTGGGTGAAGCTTAACATTGCCAGGTTTATAAACACCATGGACGTTTCCGAAAGCGGCGGCAATGGAGAAGTAGGGTGAGACTGAGGAGAGGGCAGCATAGACATCATAGATATCCTCAGGCTGCGTATAGAGGGAGCTGTTGTCAACGCCAGTATTGTCTACACCGTCCTCCTCACCACCGGTGATACCGATCTCCATCTCTAGCCATTGCTTCATCGGTGCTGCCCGCTCAAGGTATTTCTTGGTTGTGGCAATGTTGTGCTCCTTGTCCTCCTCGCTCAGGTCGATCATATGGGAACTGAACAAAGGCTCACCATGGTCGGCGAAGTACTTCTCGTCGGCGTCAAGCATGCCGTCCAACCATGGAAGTAGTTTCTTTGCGCAATGATCTGTGTGGAGAATGACGGGGATCCCGTATGCTGGGGCAATGCTACGGATGTAATGAGCGGCAGAGATGGCACCGGAAATTGACGCAAATTGGTCAGTGTTGGAAACACCCTTTCCAGCGAAGTAGGCAGATCCTCCTTGGGACATCTGGATGATAATCGGTGATTTGGCATCACGAGCGGCCTCCAGGGATGCAACGACGGTTGAGGAGGATGTGACGTTCTATACCTGTGATCAGAAACCAAAATCATCCTCGGTATATCACTTGTATAAATACATACAATAGCAGGAATGGCGAACTTGTGCTCTTTAGCATATTTGAAAAGCTATATATCGCCCAAAAGCAGTTTATCAGTATACCAGTAATTGAACTCCGATAGAAGCTAAAAATTAAATGTTCAGGTCTAACAATTAGTAACTTACGTTCAAGACATCGTCGCCAACGATGACACCCTTCTTCCTGGTCAAAATATCAAGAACACCCATTTTTGCTTTTAGAAGCGGACTTTTATGGTCTAGAGGTTATTCCCGTACTTGGTTAGCTTTATAATTCATCCTAGAGCTCGCGTTCCTGGCTAGTGGTAAACGATAAAAGGACTACTGATAAGACATGTACCCCACTATTTACAGGGGAGGCAAGAAGCAAGCTGCAAGTAAGGCAACGCAATGCAAGAAGATCAAACTTACATATATCGGAAGTAGATTGCTGGTGATTTCGCTCCTCAGAACTGATAATCAAAAACCAAACCAAAGTATCACAAAGAAGGAGGGAAGAAGGGGAAGCTTAAATATGAAGCTACCTACGGAACTAATTGCTTAAACGAGGAACCTTATGGAAGTCAACTGACAGTTCTATTAGCTTTACTGGCACTGGGTAGGGAAACTGTGACGAAACGATTTCCGGTTGCACCCGCGCAACCTCCGTTCTCTAACCTCGGAAGAGAGATAGACCCCCCCACTGCCCTGGCCTTCCGGGCAAGTGTGGACCTACAACTACAGAAAGTCACTCGTCTACCCGTGGGAACACCCAACCCAACCCATCCCGATCCTTGCTCGCATCATGTTAACCGAGAGCATGCGATGGTAACCCCATCTAGTTCCCCCACTTGCACCAACAGAGGTTCTAGAAGCAACACAAAGCTTTAATTCTAGACTAGCTCCCGAAGGTGTTTTCCGACTGCACGACGTTTACTTCAAATTCATATGCTCTCCCTCCGGAATTAAATAACCCGTGGCTCATTCAAACCCCAGTCTTATGGATCGAATTTATTCGATAAGACGACGTCTGGAGTAAAGAGGCAGAATACCAAACTTTCCTGAAAAGGAGGTCCTCGCACTATTATTGGTCCGAGAACGCAACTCTCATACCGAAGTGATCTTTGAACACGATATAAAAAGGCATATACTGATAAGATTCTAGTCTGGGCTTAGTGTGAGTAAGACATATCGCTTCGCTATCAACAATTGAGGCATAACTAGATGTAGTAGTATGTACCGTGGTTAACCATAAATACCGAGAATCTGATAAGATAAACACACCTATTTCACGGCAAGATTCTCTTATCAGATTCTTCGTATTTAACCTCAACGCCCGGTACTTGTACGTTCCGAAACCTCGAGGCTCATGGAAAATCACTCGATATGTCACCGCAAGCAGTAAGAATTTTCAAAATTATACCTAGAACGCATTCACCTCTATATACTACGCCTTCACTAAAATATCGCTAGATGTAAACCAAACTTTGTCGAGAATAAAAAAAAAGAAAAACGAAACTCAGATGCAAAAATAGGGTATGACGCACACAGACAACTTATAAATATAAGCATCGGTCCAAAAAGGCAACAGAATAGGTGTGTATAAGGTGAGTATCAACGAACGAGACACAACACAGACAAAAAGAAAAAGGAGTGCTACTTTCTTGCTACCAAAACACAAGTTCTTCCATTCGTGATTGAAGAAAATCGCTGTAGAGGCATACACACAGATTAATAGAAGAGAGTTTATATAAAGTCAACGATTGACGAAAAAAAACATTATCGTAACTAATCGAACACCATCTGTCGTCCTCCCAACTGTCTTCGATACTCTCAAGCAACCTACACATTTCAACGGGCAGACCCACGCATAAAATCCAAACTTAAAATCCGAATGGGTTGTCCGGAGCTAAAAATAAAATGCTTTAGTTAGTAAATGTACCCGATGATGTTAATTCCAGAAAATAAAGTGATAACATACTAGCTTTAGTCAAATCTGCCCTTCCTGTCGGTTGTGGCACTAGCTTTTTCGCTGAATTAACCCCGAATTTCACATTGGGCGGGGGTCCGGTTGGTTGTGCAACTAGGGGCCTAGCCCCTGTAAATTGTTGTTGAGCACCAGTTGCATTGGGTACCAATGGCGGTGGCAAGAGTGAATTAACACCCATACCTCTTCCAGCGTTCATGGTAGGCTGCCCTGACATATAGCCAAGTTGTTGCTGTTGGCCGAAGCTCTGCAATTGTCCCGTTGGTTGATTGATGAGCGGGGCTTGTAATGGATTATGTGGCATAGGCTGCTGAATCCCGCCTGTGGCGTGACTGACCATATTCATGTATGGCATTCCTGTGTTTTGAGGCATCATGCCATTGTTCATGTTCTGGTACATTTGCCCCGTAGGTTGCATTGCCATAGGGGCCGTCATGCCCATGTTTTGGAATTGCATTGGCTGTGCTCCCATTTGTCCGTAACTGGACATCATACCAGGCTGACCCGTGAAAGAGGGTGTGAGTGGAGGCAAGGTCATGCCAGGGGTGAAGTTCTGGGGCGCCGATCCTGGCCTTTGCGGAGGAGGGGGTATTGATAACCCGCTTGTGCCTGTCATAGTTGGCGCCATAGGTCGCTGCCTTCCCACCGTGTACTGGTTCTGGGGCTGATTGACCCCAGTGAACTGGTTTCCAAACTGGTTTGGGATAGGGGGAGCCAATGGAATGTTACCAGCTCCATAATTGATACCAGTGGCCTGGCTGGTCATAAATGACGGAGGAGGTTGTGTTACTGGAGGTTGTTGGATTTGTGGGGTGGGTTGAACAGGAGCAGGCTGAACAGGAACAGGTTGAGGAGGAGGACTTGCGATAGTTGGTTGTAATGGAGGGGTAGTCAATGATAGCAAGTCGCCCATGGCCCCAGTAGGCGCTGGCTGTTGTACAGGGGCTGGCTGCGTTGCTGGGGAGGCTACACGAGGGGGCTGTGGAGGAGGTGCGGGTGATTCTGGCTTCAAAGTGGTCGGCTTTGGTGCCCATGCGTCATCATCAAAACCACCAGCCACCTTTTCAGCAGGTTGAGCAGGAGGTGGGGTCTGAGAAGCAGGTGCCGGAGAGGCCCTTGGTGATTTTGAATCGTTCTTTTGTTTGAAAGCTTCCGGGTCCACCGAACCTGGTGTCTGTACCGCTGGGGCTGGTCTTCCTTTTCGTGTATTGTTCTTCAAGGTACCACCAGGACCTGAAAACAATCCTGAGCCCTCTTCCCTGTCTTCGTCAAAGTGTGCGACATTCTTCTTTTTTCTTCCATACTTCTCATCCAGCTTTTTATTTACCCGTAAAATATCACCTTCTTTTAGCCCAAGCATTCTCATGACTTCCGGCTGGATGTCTTCCAAAACCGATTCGTCCATTCTATCCTTTTCGAAGGCTGTTGCGTACCGCTGAACGTCGTTTACATCCACACCACAACTCAGGAAGAATTCAAACCAGTCGTAGCCTCCGTTGGTTTGTTTCGTCGGGGACGTAGAGGATGGAAGTGAAGGCGATGCAGATGACGCTGGCGCAGATTTGCTTGTCTCAAAACTAATACCAGTTTGTGGCTTCCGATTCTTCGCCGTGAAGGCACTCACGGGTTTAACCTCATCCAAAGAGATACCAGTCTTTCTTTCCACGTATTCTAAATCTTCTAGTGACATCTTACCCACAGGTACTGCAATTTTAACTCCATTACTTTTGTGAAGGTTTATCTTGCCATCGTTGTATCCAATAAACTGCGCCTCAACTTTAAAGTTCCCTGTGCGATCGGTCCACTGGCGGACCTGAGAACTATCTGGCTCTGTGATTGTAGCTGTCAGCAGGACTGCACCCCAAGCCCCAGACTTTCTATAACGTGAACGAGATGGTTGAAGCCTACTCTGTTTTCCGGACGTGGCTTGTGCCCTATCAGAGCCTGTGGTACTGTCTGGTCTACTTCTCCTGCCTTCCGGCCTGTGTTGGTTTCCGGCCAAACTGCTCGTCCTCGTAGGTATCCCAGTACTTCGTCCTCCATTACCACTGCTTGAGTGCTGCGACCTAACTCTATCTCGAGGGTCGGCCGGAGAGGCCATGATCCCCGGTGTGATAGCCGTATTTCTTCCCCTTTCGATGTAACTAGCTGGTACTACCCCTCGTTCCCCGTTAACTCTCCGCTCGACTAGCCACCATTCCTCGCTAGTAGCATCAATGATAACAACTTCATCGCCAACAATCACCGAAACTTCGTCGTCACCCTTTGCCTGAAAATCGTAAAGAATAGTTCCGATGTCTTTCTTCCTTCCACCTGTCGCCGCTGCGACGACTTCATCGAGGCCGGCCTGTTTATACGCGCCTCGAATTTCTGAAAGTGCATTGATAATATCCTCTGCTGCATCTTTAGAACCAGCGTGAAGATCTAAATTGCGAGTTGGTTGTTCCAAATCGATAAAAACATGTTTTCCTTCTGAGTTATAACCCTTAAGGTGCTGTACAGACCACTCCTCTCTTGGACGGCTGCTCTTATCAGGCAAGAGAATAACACGAGTAGCCCCGATTCCAAATGTGGCAGCTCGCTTCTTCTTCTTCTCATCAACCTCTTGAACTGGATATGTCTGGAATCCTGGAGGAATTGCATATGTGTCATCAGCGCTATGGGTATTCTCCCCTGCATATCTGGGCTGACCGGGACGCCGGACAGGAAGCGAGGGTCCATCGGATTCAGAATCCGAATGCGCAAAGGTAGGCGCTGGCTTTGATCTACGTTCCGAGCCGCGGTCATGATGTCGCTCTGAAGCTGACTCTCGCGGTGGTGCTGCCAGTGTTGGTGAAGCCAAAGGGGATCTGTTAGAAGATACGGAGTGTTGATTTGGCCTATGCTGCATAATACTGGCAAGATTGGCAGAAGGAAGCTCGCGAGGGCGTGAATCTTCTGATACAGGTCTAGGAGGAGTAGGGGGTGGTGGTGAATCTTCTTTTGGGGGAGCAGAAAACGCAACATGCTTAACTATTGCAGCTGCTGCAGCTACCGGGGCGTGCTCAGAAGCAGGTGAGGGTACAGTATCTTCTACACCATGCGCATCATCCGCATCGTGTCCCTCTAGCTTCTCGATGTAGTTTGCCGGAGCGAATCCATATTCACCATTACGACCTACAAGACACCAGTCTGGATCCGTAGCGTCATATACATCCAGAATTACATCCTCGTCGAAGGATATCTCTTCCTCTGTTTGTCGAGCATATTCGTATAGCGCCTTGTATTTACCGACAGGTTTGGTCTATCATGGGCAGAAGCTTAGCTCTATAGACTTCCGATAATGTGGAGATTTCCTCAAACAACCCCTCTCGGCGGACATGGTGTCCTCCAAGTGCATAAGAAAGCTCACCTCCTCAATATAAGTGGCAGGCACAAGGCCGACAGGCTCATCATCATCAGAGTTGTTGACCTTCTTCTTTACTTTCCACCAATCATCGTCAGATCTCTCCAGGACATAGAGAAGGTCACCTTCTTCTAAGGCCAGTTCCCCTTCTCCCTGGGGAGTGTACGCGTAACTAGCAGTATACACTCCCAAGAATGGAGACGCCATGATACTCTACTGTAAACGAGGAAAGAGAAGGTAGAAAAAAAGTAAGGGTGATGGGATGGACAAGAAGTAGAAGACTTGAGAGGGGATGGAAGATGTTGTGTGTGTGGTTGATGCCCAACTTTGACGTTTAGCTTTCCGGCAATCGGGATCAAGCAGGGGATGCAGGAACAGGCAAGATCATAGGAAATAGGGGATGCGAAGTAAGCAAGAATTAGAGACAGAAAAGATTTTCAGCTTCAGACAACAACTGAAATACTTGTTTATGTTACTCCTTTTTCCTCGTCTTCCTCTCTGTTGCTTAAGGATTTGATACCTGATTATGGATGGCCAAGAATCTAGCCAGTTCCGTCCAATCTTGAGCCACACAACTGCCACCACAAGCCACACCAACCAAATAGACCTCGAAGCTCCCCCGGCCCCCCTAGCTTAGTAAATCGAGTAAGCTTAGGCACATGAGGTGCTGACACTGCCGTACTATGATGAGTTTCAGATTTTCAAGACATGCAACCTGCGGTGCATATGTAATGGACCATGTTCAAACGAATACTGCGACAGTGCGACCCCGAGTGAAATAGGTAGGGCAACGAAATCACATGCCAGTGTCGATATCTCTAGATGAGATACAACTGGGAAAGGTCTTTGTTAGTATGTTAGTACCGATATATTAAAAATCTAATCTTTGTACATATAGCTACATATACCTCTGATTATCTTTCAGATCTGAACAGTTTGCATATTGGTATATTAGTGGGCTTGATTTCGCTCGTCGAGCGAGTTCACATGTAAAATACATGTAAATAGTGCACTGCCACATCGTGGTGATGATATGCCCGTGTGACGCCAATGGCTTTCTCATCCGGATGTCCTTTTTATGAAGGACATTCCCCCGCCTTTTAGGATCCTTTGCACCGAGCTTTCGTCGCGAGCATCTTCCATTTGTCCGGTCACAAGCATCCACTCACCCAATATCTTCTGCAGAACATCCTACCAACCATGCTCTAAAATAATCTTCTACACCTTTGCTTTGGTGAGCCTTCTCAGAACCCTCATTTCTTAAGACAAACGAAGAATTTATCTTCTTTTTTTTTTCCCCTACAGCGCCTTGAAAATTGGCATCTACTCTATCTCCTGCGTTAACTCGTGCAAGGATTACCCCATCACTTGTTCCACCAGCAGATCTGGGAACCCGGGCGTCGTTGTGCTTCTCGGTCAGATCTTCCGTAGTTACTTTACCTATTAAACAGCCGCAGCGGGTATACATATTTTCGCTGTTAAATAGCCTTCGACCTAAACAGGACCGTTTTTTTTTTGCTTTTCAGAGACTCATCAATCCTCGGTATCAAATAGCCCTATGGCCCAGTTGTTGTATCTGCACTTAGCTAACCTTGTTGCAGGATAGTTTCCTTGTGATCTTAGTACTTCTCAAAGTTCTATAAATTACTTACTTTCTCCCCCACACGACAATTCTTCCTGCAAAGTCTCACTCGTTATCACCTATCCAGATACTCACCGTTGCAACAATGGTTAATTTCATTACTCCTCCGATCTTGTCAGAGCTCCTTCCAGCTTTCCTGGCACATATTCCCACCGCCTTCACATCCCCGCAACCTCCACCATCTCTCTTCTCTATTTTGTCCCCAATTCTTCGCCAACGAATTCGTCTCCTTGCTCCCGCTCGCAATGCGAGCTCTAGCGTCGAAGAGACCTGGCTCGCTCTCTTGACATGGTCTGCTACAGCAGGGCCCAAACTCTCTGCGCATTTGGCAACACAAGAATTCATTCCCCATCCATCATCTGGTGAGCTTGAGGTTGGCGAAACAAATTTGAAAGGATTCCATCGACAAGATAAAGAAACCATAAGGGCATGCGCAGAGCTTTTGGAGCTTGATGTAGAAGTCACCTACATTTGGATTGGAAACGATCCAGATGGTGAGGATGACGGTTGGAAAATCCAAGATGTCCGACTCACGGAAGATTCCGAAAAACAAAAATGGTACGCAACGGTCGGCGAAGCTGATCAGGCCTTCTATGATCAATCCGATGCCTACAAGTCTCTGGTGGCACCGTCGGCATCCTTTGCTACTGCTTCACAACAGGCACCCGTGGCAAACGAGGGCGAGGGCGAGGGCGAGGATGATGATTATTGGGATATGTATGACCGCACCCCTGCACGTACCCCAATGGTCCCGCAAAAAACGGATATGCCATCTGAGGATTCATATTACGCAAGATATGGAGATGTACAGCCGGCCCTTGAACCCGAACTTACTTCGGCTGAATCTTCCAACCCAATCACGATCCCTTTAAACCCACAATCATATTCCCCATTGTCAACTACTACTGCGAATACAGCATCAACGACCCCTCCAACGGTTCTCTCGTCGTCATTCCTATCGAATAAGGATGAAAACACTTCAGTAACACATGCGCCCCGACCTATATCTGTTGCGTCCTCCTCCTCATCAACCAGAAACTCGATTACAAAGTTAGAGGAGAATGCGGCAGTACAAGTGCAGAGTGAACTTGGGGTCAAGCAACACATTTCAAGCACAATCAAAAGTCTTTACCGGTTGTCTAAGGCTGCAGGTATTCAGAGGGACGAGTTTGAGAGGATGTTACAGACTGAAGTTGCAGTACTTGCCATGATGGATGATGGAGACGATTCCCAGACATGGTAGAAGAGAAATTTTTACTCTTCTTAAGCACTTATTATTCTAATCTCTTTTTTCAGCACCGCCTTTTCTTCTTTTTTCATGACGACGCTCTCTCTGCGGATTTGTTTCCACGAAAGCGTATTTCCTTTTTTGTCTCTTGTGGGTATCTTGCACTGGAATGGGCGTTTCTTTTATTTTTCTTCATTTCCGTGTAGTTATATTTCTCCATATTTTCAAGTGTTGGCAAAAAAAATTGTGAGGTACACATTTCAAAATCCAGAATCCCAAATATTGTGCACTTGCGGGCGGGATTCATGCGGACCAGGAGGTACCCCGCATACATATGGCTTTTCGATACAGGGCGGAAAAATCTATCGGGCCTGCGACCCGGCGATCGGCGAGCGATTAGAATCGGTAGGAGACCAGGTTTGAAATCATGCAATATCACTCGCTCACCAACTGATCCGCCGTTGCATATGCATATATATAAGAACGTGGGTTGTTGGGAAGAGGGCCATATAATCGACTTTAAATTAGAGGAAATGGAAGACCGGAAAGCGCTATGGTTTTTTTTTTCTTTTTTTTTTAAAAAAAAAAACATAGCTACATGTAATTAAGTTGTATAATAAATATAACTCTGGCCCTTCGATCATATCACTTCAAGACGTGATCTTTAACCACGAAATTCTATAAAGCATGCGCACCTTTTACTGAATTCGTTGATCGGACGATAAATCCGGAGCTCGGGACGAATTGGGTCTATGATGGTATCATATCAGTTATGATTAAGAGGGGGTGAAGGGACTGTCGTGTCGTGGCTTCCCGGGATGTCCATTTCGACGTTAACATGGCTACGAATCTTTGCCTTGAGGTATTCTGGAGGAATCCCGGCACAGTGTGATCAGAGCTCTCTCTATATACATGTATTTGGCTACAAACAGCCACTGTCAATATATGGAATTAATAAATCTGAGCTCATACGCCCCAGCACGAATAGTTCTAGATCTATACGCAATCCCTCATGATCATCAAACTCAAGAATCGTGTTTCTATAAAAAAAAAGGGCCAACACGTGCACAACTACTTACATGTAAGTATTTACATGAGTTATACCGGTATATCCCTCATTACTGCATGTACACACATGTATAAACCTGGAGATTCTTGAGGCGAGTAACACTGCTTACCTCAGGCGGCCTAGTCTTTATAAAGCGAGGCCGCTATATAGGTAGCTCGCCTCCTGAATCACAATGGGTCACTCCAGATTCTAATTCTAGGGCTCTTGCCTACCTGGAGCCCGAGTACATCATGAATGTATTCCGGACGGCATTGCCAATACTACTAGTACTTCCTCTTAATAAATATATAAATATAATCTCCTAGTTTGAACCCATACCAATACCCACCATTGATAAATAATGAAATAATGCTAGTCCTGGTAGTAATAACTCAAACCAAGGTCCAAGTATTTGCATATCTTTCTTTCTCATCACCTATCACAATTTAGTTCTTTGCCGAGACCTTCCCTTTACCTTCCAAAGGCGGTAACTTGAATGCCTCAGACAACCCGACTGAACCCCAAGTAAGCACACCGACACGTGGCTGTACGTTCCAGTAAAGGCTCAGTGTGATATTCTCACGATCAGAAAACTTCCCAGTTATATCATTAATGTTATATTTTGCGCGTTCATTCTTAAGGTGGAGTCTCGAAGCTGAGCGGTGAGGGAGAATTGCATCCCAGATGACAGCTTCATTCTCAGACTATCGAATAGATGTGAGATTAGCTGTCAAGGGTAGTAGAGCAAGAAACAGAGATATTGGGAGATTGACAAATTTAGAGCCCGGGTAAGAGGCAGAGATATAGGTGAATACTTGTTTTGTGTTCCAGTTGAAGAGAGATTCTAGATCTACGGGCGTAAGCTAACTCGAAAATCTCACATGTAGATCAAGTTAAAAAAGTACCAGCATCAAGATCAAAGTTAATGAATGCGTATTCCTGCACTTTTGAAGCATAATATTGGTGAGCTCGTCCCCTTATCCTATAATCAAAGTCATGATTAGGAGGAAAGTCGATTTTGAGTAATTAGTAAATATGGAAAGGTGTCCTTACACACGAAACTTGCGAACATCGACAGTAGCTGTTGGGTTTGCGGGGAAAGGGACAGCTGACAATGCTACAAAGGCAGCGACACAGAATGTAACTGTTGTAAAGAAACTAAAGACACTTTGAACACGGACCAGCGAAGAATGCATCTTGGAGTGGGTATTGTTCTGCTGTTTATGGCGGGGTATTGATGTCCTACATGATACAGACTACTGTACTAGCTAAGTAGATTACCTGGAAGATATGTAGCATGACTAATCCAGAACCCATATTTCCTTTCATTGTGCCTGAAGTACTCCTGTAATTATATATAAGCCCAGAAGAATGATATGAAGACGAAGCAACAGCTAGAGTTTTCTATCCCCGCTTAACCCAGAAATACACTTCAGGATGATTTCCGCCTTACTCTGGAAAGTACTTTAAAATATCTGTCACCGTGTAGTACTATTGGTCATGGACAACGTTACAGAACATCACACTACACATCCAGGTTCTCTGACCTGGTTGAAGGACACGGGCGCCGTCATGGTTGCTCCACCCTAACTAACCCTTAATGAATCTGCACCCTTGAGATTCCACGCGACATTTAACCAGATTAAATTTGTTTCGTCCCTTCCTCCTCCAACCGTGCGAACAGGAGACCATGGCGTTTTCTAAAAGTAGACATTCCGTAAAATCGGTTTATCTCCCCCTCCCCTAGTTTTCCCCTGCTAGCTACCTACTTATTCATATAAGAGCCGGGTCATGCTCGGGTATTGTCTTGCGGGGAGCTTTCCTTTCAACCTGGCTTTCCTCTCTCTTTTTTTCGCTTCTTCCTATTTGGCTACTCCATCTTTCAGGGAAAAATATTGAGATGTCGACGAAAAAACACCTCGTTGTTTTTAGTGGAGGCAGCGCAGCTAATAATCTTATCGATGTTTTCAAGACCCTTGCAAGCAAAGGCAACCGAGCACTGGATTTTGTTCTCCCGATTTCAGATAATGGTGGTAGCACCTCTGAGATTCTGAGAGTATTTGGTGGCCCTGGTATTGGAGATGTTAGAAGTATGTACCCGTACCTGCATATTTTTTGGTTCTTTTGGACGCGTGGACGCAAGGGTTCAACCCCAATGATTCAAAGCTTATCTATTGGCTGCTACTTATAGGTCGTCTTATCAGGCTAGTCCCCGAAGACACAGAGGATGTCGAGTTAATAGCGATTAAGAGTCTTCTCAATTACCGTCTTCCCCCCTCCAACGATGAAGCTCGTTTTGAGTGGCTTGCTATTGTCGAAGGCACACACGGCCTTTGGAAACATGTTAGTTTCCCTACTGTTAAGTTAAATAAAGGCTCTAATCTCCTAAGATATCATCCGAAAAACGTGAACTTCTCCGTTCATTCTTCGTCCTCCTGAACCTCGAACTCCTCAAACGTCAACGTCCCAAATCCTCCTTCAACTTTCATTCCGCTTCAATCGGCAACCTTTTCCTGACTGGAGCACGTATCTTTTTCGGCTCCTTCGAATCCGCTATATATCTTTTTCGTTCCATTACCGGAATCCCGGAAAATGTGCAAGTCATTCCAGCCATCAACTCAAATTTTGCCCACCATATAGCTGCAGGATTGGCAGATAAAAGCGTTATTATCGGACAAAATCAGATTTCCCATCCATCCAACCCGTCTGCGCTGCCCATCCCTGCAGAATCACAACCAAGCTCTAAAAATGGCTCTGAAAAGGACTTCGATGTATTCGAAGAGGAGCCGGAAGAGCCAGAGGAAGATGCGAACCTCCCTGGATCTCTAGCTTCCCTCCGAACCCAGAATATCGAATTCAGTAAGATCGAAGAAACTGCAATGTCGTCTAGGATTGAACGGATATGGTACATCAATCCATACGGCCAAGAAATCAGGCCTCACGCCAATCCGAAGGTCCTTACGGCCATCGAAAACTCTCAGGCAATAATTTACAGTATCGGGAGTTTATACACTTCTCTTATCCCTTGTCTTGTCCTCCGTAACATTGGCATGACTCTCGCAGCCACTGGACGCAATACTCCAAAGATTCTCCTTCTAAACGGCTCTCATGACCGGGAAACGGGGCCCGATAACGCTTCTTTCACGGCGGCCGAGTTCGTTCGTGCAGTAGCTCAATCATGCGCATATTCTGATTCTGCCTTTAAGGGTAAGGAACTGAAGCCTCAGGACTGGAACAGATACTTGACACACGTCATATATCTGGTCGGTAATGGAGCACCGATGGTCAATGATGACGAACTGAAAGCGCTTGGCATCGATGCGTTTCAGGTTTACGGGAGGAGAAATCCAGTCGAGGGAAGAGGGATGCTATATGACTCAACAGCGCTGGGTCAAACGCTTGAGATGATATTGGCAAAGCGTCTAAGGAAGGCAGAGACTAGACGTATGACAATGGACACATACTATGAGAGTCCAAGAGGGGGGAATGGGAGTGGTGGCGGAAATGTGAACGACAATGGGTGGGCAGCTGGGAAGTGTATGTAAGGAGTTTTGTACTTTTATTTCCCTAAACAAAACTTAGAACTCAATTAGGAATGGTTTCCCTGTTTATTGGTCTTAGAGTGACACCTAGATGGATCCACGGGGATAATTGTATCTTTGGGAGTCAGCTACGATTATCACTCATTGTTTAACTTCGAACCGGCAATACAAGATCGTCAAGTGCACGTGAAACTCAGTAGGTTAGAAGGCGCCTCCGCTGTATTATTTCCCACACACAAATCTATAAAATATACAGATCTGTGGGTTTTCCACAAGACACAACTTCCCCCTCCTTCCAGCCAGATTCCAGGATTTTTTTGATTTCGTTCGATTGGTGCTCGTAGAGGCGACCCGCTTAGTCGAAGAGACCGAAACCCATATCCTCGTCGGACTCCTATAATAGCATTAGAAACTTTGAGGTATGTAGTAGATGAGGATAATAAGTTGGTACTAACCTCCTTCTCCTCCTCCTTCTCCTCGGCGGGGGCCTCGGCGGCAGCACCACCGCTGGTAGCGGCGGCGGCACCACCAGAAGCAGCACCACCAGAGCCACCAGATGGGACGGAGGCGAGTTTTGAGGATCCCTCAGCAATCAACTGTTGGACCATCAGTGAAAAGTTCTCCAAGTCATGTATGAAAACGCATGCACGGGTATAGAGATCAATATTGGAAAAATTGCATTGTCAAAAGACCTTGCAAATTTCTAGTCTTCAAATCTATTCCTGGACGACACCCGTCTTTACTACGCCATTGGGAAGAATTTATAGCTGACCTCGTTGATATCCTTGCCCTCAAGTTCCTTGAGGAGGGAGGAGACGCGGTCATCGTCGCAATCAATACCGACAGAGCTGAGGACGGTCTTAATGTCTTCAGCAGAGGGTGAGGCGTTTCCACCGATCTGGAGGAGGAGGTAGGCAGCAAGGTGCTTCATTTTTGTGGTTGTGTTATTTTGTCACTTGGCGAATATTAGTGACAATTTATCTAGTAGAAATATTGTGGAAAAACTTACAGTGGAATGAACAAGAGAAGCAATCAGTTTAACCGCAATGGACCGGGGAAAGCTCTTCGTTGTTCGGAATGTCGTGATGTTAGGTTGAGGTGAAAACGATTTACTCCGGAAATTTCCAGACTGATGATGGTGTTTGGTGGGGGTGTGACTGGTGAAGACTTCAAGCTTTACGAGGGTTATAGCCCTTGTGCTTGTGGCTTTGCCGATGTGGCTTCACTCATGTGGCTAAACCTTGACTCATGTGGCGGAATGTTGTGGCTGACTGAATAAAGAAATTGAATGGTAGAGTAAGTCTTATGAAGACTCCCTCTTCCGGCTCATACACAACACTGAAGAGAGGATCCTCTTCTGCCAATCAGCTCCCCATTTTTGACATCGCCAGCTATTACCACATAGGCTCTCTCGAAAGCGTCACTCCGCGTTGTTGTTGACGCGACTTGCTCTGCTGTTCTCTTGGTTGTCCGTCGTGGTCGTGGTCGCTGTTGCCAGCAATCAGGGCTTTTCCACCTCGAAATTTCCAACATCCGAACCACCTCCCCATAACCAACACCACATCAGCTTTTTGACCTCCCCTACTAAGAGAAAACAGCTACTACTACTACTACGAAAGCCACCGCAACCCTGGTTCACGATGGTTTTCAGCGACGCTGACCCCACGGTACACCCTCACCCCTCCTTCCTCTCACTCTCAGCGTCAACTCGGGCTAACTCGCTGGGCGCGCGGTCATCGCCCGATTCGTAATCCAGTTCAGCATCTCCTCGCTCCTTAGCCGTTTTGACCCTACGGTGGCAGCTGGAACAAGTTCTTCTGCAGCCTCACGGCCAGTCCCGTCAAGAGTTAACAGCGATAAGAAGCCCTTGGTTGCTCAGCAGAGTGAGTGCCTTTTTCGTTGTTGCCCTGCTGTTGCCCCCTCCCTGTATATGTTCTATTTTTATGAAACTATAACATATGCTTGAAATATAATTGGTTGTCACTGACGATATCCTGTTTCTGGCTGGCTTTGTAGATGGCTCTAAAACAACTACATCTACGACAAGTACAAGTACAATACAATCCCGGCCTCCGATTACATCATCAAAACCGGCCACCACTACTAGTACTACTACCAGTACTACCAATACTACTACCAGTACTACCAATACTACTACTCGGACTAATGGCATCTCTTCAGTACCGTCTTCGAAAACAGATGTTGGCGGTATCGTTAAAAAACGCAAAGTAGATGATCCTCAACAAAGTTCTATGGAAATGTTAAAGCAGCGGGCAGCGCTTCTAGCTAAAGTTAAAAAAACAACCCCGGCTTCCACAACGGCAGCATCAGCTAGTACTCATAGGCCAACTGTTTCAAAAATTACAACTGCTGGTGCACGACCTGGTACCACACGACCTGGCACAAATTCTGCTGGAAACACGCCAACAGAGACTGTTAAAAAGCCTGGTTATAAGGAACTCTTGGCTAGGGCAGCCCAGGCCCAAGCAGAGAAGAAGTCGGCTTCAGGAACAATTACACACAAAGCCCGACCTCAAGTGAAGGAACAACGTGCGTGGCAGAAGAAGCTGGAAGAGCAGAAGGCTGGAAAGTCAGGAGTAGTTGGGAATGACAGGAATAGTAAGAGCCCGGGCATTGCTTCAGGCAATGAAAAGGGCACTTCTGCCGGGAAAAAGTCCGGCGAAACCGTCAAGACGACAGCTGGGAAGAAAGGCGTCGGAGGTATTGACAGCCGCAGATCATCTGTAGGGAATATTCAGGGAGCTGCTGGAAAAGGAAAACTTCCAGATAGGGGGAAGAATGGAGGCCCTGTGGAAGCTGGGACGAAAAGAAAGCGTGAAGACACCGGATATGGTGGTGGTAGCGGTAGAGCCGGTGGCTTTACATCTTCCAAAAAAAACAATGGTAGACGTTACGACACCTACGAGGAGGATGAAGAAGATGATTTCGTTGTTGACGATGAAGACGACGTGCCCGCACGCGGGCCGAGATATGGCGGTGGTGGATATGGTGGCGGCGGCAAAAAGTACGTTTATACATCCGATTAAATGATTTTTAATTCGGTTTACTAATCAACCAATCGTCATATAGATACATATACTACGAATCTGATTATGATTCGGGAAGTGATATGGAAGCTGCAGGTATTGATGTGCTTGAGGAGGAGGAGCGAAGCAGGAGAGTAGCTATTCTAGAGGACCAAGCAGAAGAGAAGAGGGAGAAAGAGCTGGCTGCAAAGAAGGCAGCTGCAAAGAAGAAGTTGATGGCCGCAAAGATGGCCAAGAAATAATCTAGTCTCGATCTGAGATCGGGTTAACGTTTTTAATGGGGTTAGGATGTGGCGCAGATCAATTAGGTATATCTCGGCGGAGTTTTTTCTTCTTCATTTATTCACCAAACCCTTTCGGAAAGAATTGGTGGCACTTACTATTGAGTAAACGTATTGTGCGGCCTTGATTTCTAGATGACTATTTCCTCAGTTATCTTCATTCATTAAACTACCATATCATGCGTTTCCCCTCGCTTTTATTCCCTGCCGTCACCCGCCTATGCATTATTCCTAGCTTTCTTTTGTCATGGGTGTTTCTCGTTTTTGTTTTATGTTCCTTTCTTTTCGTCAAGATGGGGATTTATAAGGGAGTTTTGTGTATCTGTGTTTTATTTTATTTCCCTCCTACTTTTTATTGAGTTCTTTACAGGTTGGTAGGTGTACTTTATAGTACCTGTGTTCTTTCCCCCCTTTTCGGGGTATGTTTGGGGTTATCAGGTGGGAGTTTGTGCTGTTTAAACCTCGCCAACACGTTGGCGGTGTAATTGGTACGTGTTTAGGGTTGCAACTTTTTTATAGTCATTCATGGAGGCTTTGTCTGGTTTTTCTAAAGACATATGTTTGATCACAAATTTCCCTTTCTCATTTTAAGACTTTACTGCTCGCTTTGTTCTAAACCACTGAATTCCTACGGATAGAGTCATAATGACCTCGTAGTGCTCATCCAGTGTCACCATTTCTCTACTAAATAAATTTCTGCAGAACGCAACTTAGCAAGCCTTATACTCATTTTACGTTCGTTTTTCCCATCGCATATTCGCCAACAGACTTGTGATCTGGCCCTCTTCCGTGCGTGTGGCTGGAGAACCGGAACGGGAGTTTTCATCTCTTGTATGGGAACGAACATACATAATATAAACTCTGCGAAACTCAAATCATCAATTCAGAAAACACTTTAAAATTATAGTACTGTCAAACTTCGTTCTCTCGATATGTAGTTCTCAATCTTTCTACAGCTAAAAATGTTGGCTTTGGTAGTAAAGGTGGGTAATCAAGCGCATCATGCATTATCACTCGACAGTTCCACTTATGTAGGTACATGTATTGATTGGTTGATTTGATTGATAATTCTTGTATATACATTACATGTTACTTATTACATGTAATTAAGTCATTGAATGCCCTCGACTTAGATATACATATATCCCTACAGTGCCATTGTCTTGATGATATCTAGGTTAATACTACCTTGGTTAATTCTAAGTAGCAGATTGAAATCGATCTGGCGGTGCTTCCGGTAAGCTTTCTTTCACCGGCAAACGAATGTTAAACATTGAACGACAATTCTCTTGAATCCACCAGTCAAACTCGTTGGACTGGATAGAGTCAAAGATTACGGTATTATATATTCCTAGAAAGAAACACTCGATGCCTGCTTGGCGGATAACATTTCATTGCAGCAACGACTGTAATTTTATACTAATGTAGATTTGTCCCACGTCTTTTGTCTACGCCGTGTCCATTTTCTTTTGTTCCAGCCGTTATGCATCAGATTCAAAAGAGATATGTTTCACATATGGAGTGATTGTACAAAACCCCAGGTTCTAGCCCCCATGCCATACGTACAACTCCTCCGCACAAATAATGCCTCCAACAGCCCCAACTCACCACGCACCAAGCCATCATAACGATATCAAACACATACTCCACATTAAAAAATAAACACAAAACAAAAAACCAAGTCAGTCCTGCCTTCTAAAAAGAGGCAGGGTTAGGGATAATGGATGTGTGAAGAGAAGGAGTAACCTAAGTATAAAGAAGGAAATGGGAGAACAATGAAGAAAGAGGGAAAATAAAAAGGAAGATAGTACCAAAATATCACCCGCCCACAAAACAAAACAAAAAACAAGACCCCCCGAGGAAAAACGATTTACACAAAAGGCCTGACAAAAGCTAGCAGATAATAGATGAACCCGATATATGCCGGAGTAGTAAAGATATAAGAACCAGACGGAATAAATAATGCACAAAGAGGGGGGGGGGGGTTGGTGTTAGTCCCCTTTCCTTGTAAACTGTACCCATAACACAATTCGCCTCCCAAACGTGTAAAAAAAAGAAACAAACCCGTATTCAGACAAAAGCCAGTAATAAACCGGACCCGACCATAATCTTTATGCATGACCCCCGCAGTGACCCTATAAACACTCATTACGTGCAACACCCAAGCCATATTAGAAACCACTCATCCGTGAGGGAAACCTCATAGTTGCCGTGGGCATTCCAAGTGAACCATCGCTCTCTTCTTTCAGCCTCTTCAATCCTCCATCTGGTGCTTCGACTTCTCTCCCATATATCCTTTCCCCAGGGGCCGGGCTCCCCAGATCAATTATCCTTTGTGTTGCTGGTGGTGGAGCTGGATGTGATTCTATACTACTAGCGCTGGCATATAAACTATGGTGCTGATGAGGTGGTGGTTGCAGTGGATGTGACGGCATCGGATGTCCAGAGTAGTTATACTGTAATGGACGCTGAGAGGGATGTGACTGGGGGTGATTGTGTACTAGTTGAGGAGAACGATTTTGGTTGTTTCCGCCATGAATGGAAAGTGCGAGGCTAGATGGAGGTCGTGGTGAAGAATGTTCTTGCTTTATGTCGTTTTGCAGTAATGCGGATAATGGAACATTTGAAGGCTGGGAGTGACCAGGGTTTGCCGAACCTGTTGCAGAGGGAACACGCTGTTTAAGGAAAAGAGGTTGGTCAGGCTGATTGGACACCCCAGACGCGGCATGTCTTCGATTATGATGATGGTGAATATGTACGTGGGGATGCGAATGGGCCTGAACAGGTTGGGGTGCAGGAGATGGCGGCGAGTGTCGTTGGACTTGGGACCAATGAATAGGCTGAGGCCTCTCATAATGATCATCAAGTAGTCGGTCGCGTAATACAGGTGGTTGTACGGTTGCACTTACCCTCACAGGTACACGTGGAGCGATCTGCAAAAGAAACGTTAGAATTTCACCCGTGGCTACGCATCCCCCGTGCCCCAAGAAGGACACCAAGCGAAAGAAAAAAAACGGGGAAATAACTACTTACTCCGATGGCCTCCAAATCTTCCGCCCGTTCTTCCTCAGATGCCCCCAAGACGTCAGGGGCAGCTGGAAAACCAACGTGTTTAGAAATTCCTGTCAGAAGTGCCACTTCCCAATTGTACTGTCTTCGGTGCTGTATCCTTGTACTTGCACGATCTGGTATCCGATAGGTGTATTCTGTAGTTCCGTGTTACTTCCGCTGCTTAAGCAAACTAAAACCACGAGGCAAGACAAACCTGAAACTAATGTATCGCCAGCCCTCCGTTCTCTTTGAATATGATACCACAATTCACTGCATTTATTGAGGGTATTCTCTCGTAATTCTCTCACTCGTTGATAATACTGTGAATGCACCTGGGCCTTGGTAACTCGGGTGGCAATCTCTAGAGACTCCATACCATTCTTGTACTGGGCGTCGGCCAGACGTTCTTTTTCATCTAATTTCTGGTCGATGCAAGCTTTCTGGGCGACGTATTCAGGGTGGGTGCCATCTTGTATCATTTTCATTTCGATTTCAACTCTGCGCAGTTTTTCGGAATAAATTCTATGCCAAGTGTCAGCAAAAAGGTTTTACGTCATAGTAAGGCGGCTTCGCTTAGTCCTAACCTATCTTTGAGGTGTGCGAAAACACGTTCTATCTCCGCGAGCTCTTCCATAGCAGCTTTCTTCTTTAACGCGCGCTCTAAATCTGAGTTATTAGAAAAAAAAAGCCGGCCGAAAAAATGCTCTTACCACTACACAGCTTACCTTCGTCATCCACCCCAATCGTATCAACAGCATCGCCATGCTCTTCTTCTGGCACTATGGGAGCCGCGACATCTGTATTCTCTTCAATTTCAATTCCAATAGCACGCTCAGATTCTTGGTCTTGGTCCGGATTGCTATCGGATTCTTCCACAGCGGATGTAGCAACCTTGACAATTGATTTTACTGGCCGAACGTCCTTACCGTTAGTCACAATTGCAACTGGGGTCTCCTGGCGAATTCCGTTAGTGATGGCAGGATGTTCATCGTCGTCCGTGTTCGGTTTTTTCCCTTCCAGCGTGCTCACACTGCTATTTTCTGATGGTACTTGAGGGGTATGTACTTTTTTCTTAGGGGGTGGTGTTGATGGTCTTGTCTTCCGCTCTTCCGTAGGTCGTACAATAGGCGATTCTTGAAAGTCTCTTTTCCGCTTTTTGCTGGGGCTAGATTGTGTAGGTGTAGAGGGCGTAGAATCATCAGCAGCGTCATCTGCAAAAACATCCCCCTGATCAAGCAACACCTCTTTCCTGACTGGCATTTCGATCGCGATTGCTTGCGTTGTGGATGTTGAATCTTTTCTGTGTTGCACAAATTTCGGTCTCTGTTTTAGCGGGGAATTGTGTAGCCTTTCAGTTTCCGCCTCCGAATCCTCGCCAATGTCGCTGAGGCTGGACTCGGAGTCGCGGTCCGAAGCGTGACCGTTATGCTTTCGTCTTGTTCCTGAGAGAGAGGGGCGGGGTGGGCCGTTCAAATTCTCCAGAGCTCCGGCGGAGAGGGGTTGTGTTTCGACAGCTGTAGCGTCTGGTGCCATTCGATCAGAGAGGATCGGCACTTTTGAGTCTTCTGGGGGGCCGTCAACGCGGCGGTCGAGTAGCTTCGTTGCGTTAGAGCGAGGAAGTGATCGAGAGCGGTTGTTGAGGGTAGATAGTACAACTGAAGGTGGTTCGGAGGATAAAGGTAACGAATTAGTTGAACGCGTTCGCTTTCGGGGCCGCCGTCCTGCTGTAGTAGGAGGTAGGGGAGTCTTTGGTTAGATTCCTGAGAGGTTGGCCGACTTGTGAGAAGGAGAAGGAGGGGGTAGGATGGTAGGTAGTAGGGATAGACAGGTGCGAGGATATCCAAATAGGAACAGGGAATATGTGCGGGGAGAGTGAGGGCTTTGAGGGAGAAGGGGAATAGGACGAGGAGGAGTGGTACCAGATTCTTCCAGAGCTATGGTGGAGGGACGAGATCTGCTGCCGCGTTTTGGAGCTGGTGTCATGCTATGAGCAGCGGATGAAGCGAGATTTCTACAGGGAGACGGACTCTGTAGATGCAAGAGTGGAAGTGAGAGCCGTGGAAGGGAGGTGGTGGTTGTGGTGTTTAGCAGGATGGTGACGTCTAACGGAAAGATTGGAAAGATTGGCACCAAGATAAAGTAGGGACCCAGAAGAGCCGCCCCAAACAAGCGTTCGTGCCGGGAATATACGGCGGAGGGGAAACACAGACTGGACCTGAGTTAGTTGAATAATGTGAGGAGGGGAAAGATGGGGAAATTAGGAGTGTGCGTGAGTGAGAATGGGTATTGGTGAGTAGGGGAAGGATCAGGGTGCAGAAGGACCAGTGATTACAGTGACAGATGAGAAGAATAAGGGAACATGATCGGACTCTTTTCGGAATGGTGCGAGAGTTGCCGGGGGAGAGGGGAAGGGGAAAGGGCACCTTTTCTCTCCTATGACGAGCGAGAGTGGGTGGAGGGTCTCGAAGGAGGCAGGCCTCAGAGATACACACACAGATAGCGAGAGGCGGAGATGGAGCGTTCTGAAGAGTTTGCAGTAGCAAGACAACTTATTCGATTATTCGAATGAACGATACGGCCAGGAAGATGTACAGGTAGCCTATCGACGGCGGACGGACGGATGGCGAACACTGGACCGTGAAGGCGATTATGGGGCGACCTTCGAGGAGGTGGATGTTGCTGGTGGGGGAAAGTTGTTTCGTGGAAGCGTCCAGGTACATACAGTGAGCGAGAAGAGGAAAACACCGGCGGAGAAGGGCGAGGGATACCTACGCTACACCGCAGTACCTACACCATACCACATGTACCCCCCCAGCCTCCGCCGGCACCAACAAGCAAGCAACTCTTTACATGTATGGACGGCGCGACCCCCCACTGTCCACAACCTTTCTGGCAGTAAGCATGAAGCCGCATCTTTTACCACTTCCATAAACAATCAAAATCAGTGCACTTGGACTTACATTCACTCCACATAGATACCTTACATGTACTTTTAATTATTTTTATTTATATGTATAACGCTTATTTGCTTGCTTGCTTTTTATTCTCCCGGCCGTCATCATCATGTACAATACCTTCTCCATTGCCCAATTTGAGCTTCACTCACAATACCAATAATCCGCACATACACCGCGCCCACTGCACACCCACACATCGTTCACGCACTCACTCCCTCACTCACACCCACCCATATCACACATCCCAGTAACAGTAACTCTGTGTGTGCGGAACTGATCGAAACTGATATTGCTGCCGGCTTGAGTGCCAAGAAATCCGGGGGCAGAGGAAAATTCACTAGGGGAAAACGTTGAAACCAAACCTTTGCGCCAAATCTCTTGATGTGTGCCTGCCCTTACCTACATGTATTTAAAATATCCTGACTGCCCTGCCAATCTGTCAGTTCAACAACGCTATTGTCACGCGCACTTTATTGCACTTATCCCAAAACTTTTTTACCCGCTCCACCTGACACGCCAGGAACCCTTGTCCGTCTTCAACACCGAGCGCCGATAAAGAAAAAAAAAGTGAGAGCTGGAAAAATTCAAAGAAGTCGCTCCCACAACCAGACTGCTCCCCCCTCCAATCAACATATTTACCCCGCCATAAACTTTGAAGCAATGGGAAAGAAGGACAGATCAGAAAAACTTTCCAAGAAGGAAAAGATGTCAACTGCGACCCTTCCTGAAAAGAAAATTGACCCCTCATTGGCTTCTCTCTTTGAGTCGAGCGTGCGTATTTCACCCTTGACTCTACTCAATAAGGATACATTGTTGACTCTTTGTTACTGTAGTTTGGTGCTGTAAAGGCTCCCATAAAGCCTGCCCGTATTCTACCCGAGGAAAGTAAAGAGCAGGGGCACAATGATGAGGAAAATGCTGTCGATGCCGATGCCGAACTTTCGGAGGTTGATGAAGAGATTGCCGATCTCGAAGATACCGAGGATCCTACCGACCCAATCCCGGAAGTAGCCAAAGTAACAATAACAGATAAGAAACGGAAGCGGAAACGGAAGGAAGAGAACGGGGAACTCGAGGACACCTACCTCCGAAAGCTCCAGGACGAAGAAGATGCAGCAGAAGAAGAGAGGAGAGGGAAGAGGAATAAACAGCTTGCAAAGAAGGCCGGGATCACTGTTCCAGAGAGTGAGAAGGATAGTTCAGAGGACGAAAACGATAAGAAAGAAGAGTCAGAGTTCCAAGTTAAGCACGAAACTCTGAGAGATGAAAAGCAAATCGAGATCGATAAAGCTGTCAGGACTGTCTTCCTTGGAAACGTCCCCTCTACAGTGGTTTCCTCAAAAGTCAAATCCGCCCACCTTACCCTCACTTGGAATCCCAATAACTGACCTCTAACAGCCCGAATACAAACTCCTCAAATCCCACTTTACCGCTGGCGCTGGCCCTATCGAGAGCGTCCGCTTCCGCTCCATCGCCTTCTCTGAACAAATTCCCCGAAAGGCCGCATTTATCACCCACAAGTTCCACGAGAAGCAACAAACTTTGAACGCCTACATCGTCTTTAAAACCGCCGCTGCAGCTCGTGAAGCCTTAAAACTCAACGGCGTTGTTCTCCTTGACCGCCACATCCGTGTCGACTCCGTTGCACACCCGGCACCTCAAGATGCCAAACGATGTGTTTTCGTTGGAAACTTGGATTTCGAGGCACAGGAGGAAAGTCTTTGGAAGCATTTCTCCACCGCGGGGAAGGTCGAGAGTGTACGCATTGTTAGGGATGCCAAAACAAACGTTGGAAAGGGATTTGCCTATGTTCAGTTTGAGGTATGTATATCAACCATTCACCCACACCACCACCAACCCACTGACATGGTTACAGGACGTAATGGCTGTCGATGAGGCCCTTCTGCTCCATGAAAAGCGCATGCCTAATGATCGTAAACTTCGCGTCACACGCGCTAGAACTATCAAACGAAACGCAAAAAGGTCAACTGAAAATGACCGTGATCGCCGCCCTGACCCTACTTCTCATAGACCAAGAGACAACATAAAGGGATCTATTTACCAACCTAAAGTCGATCCCCGTAAGCGGGACCAGCTCAACCGTGCAAGCAAAATTCTTGGACGTGCGGCAGCGGCACAGCTCAAGAGTCAAGGTGACGTTTTTGAGGGGTTGAGAGCTACGGCCAATACAGATAGTGGGATTAAGAAGGGGGGGAGTGGGAAGAAGGCGGGTAAGCCGAGAGCTAGAGCGGTTGCGAGATCACAGGCGTGGAAGGCAAAGAATGCGAAGTAGAAAAACGGATTAATACGGTCTAATAGGTTTGTAATATAAATGATTTTGATAGAAAAAGTTACTTGGCTTCTGTTGGTTTACTAGGTTTTTATGTATTCTATCTTACACTGCGACTATCGTACAATTATTAAGAACAGGAAAGGCACCCTCGCGGTAAACACTTTAACAGCAAATTTATATTACTTAGTGTTGGTTGAAGTCTTCTGCTATCCCTGACGGGGCCATGTTTCCTCTGGCAGCTGCCCTTTGTCGATCAGGTACTGAATCACCTGTAGCATAAGAGTATTCTCCTTCTCCCGATCGTGCTCCACAAGCTATCACTCACAGTTAGACATCAAACCCTAACCCATACGTTCACAACCCCATAACTCAAGGACCCAAGAACACATACCCGCTGATATAAAGTCTTTTTCTCCTCGGCCTTAGTTTCCTTCTTCTTAACTGGCTCCTTTTCATGCCGAAATCTGCACCGATCGCCCTTCGCGCATTTTCCGCGCAGAAAATCACGGCAGTGCCCAGTTGACTTCTTGAACCCCTGTCCCTCGGGCTTTTGGATTGCGGATTCGGGGACTGTAGATTTGACTTTTGAGGATGCGATTTCAGGCGGTGCACCATCAGAGTCAGAGTCAGAGTCAGAGGCGTTGGTGTCGTAGTCATTATCGATGTCTGAGCCCGTTAATAATAGTGGCGCGCCATCTCCATCTCCAGTATCAGCGGTGACACGTTTTCGTTTGCCCCCTATTGCATGAGCTTTTAAGTCCCTCTCTTTTTTCTGCTGCGCAGCAACCCTCTTCGCCTCTGCTTCTGCCCTCGCAGCTACCTCCTGTTTTTTCTCCAGGTTCTCCCCAATCTTCTTCGCAGTCGGAAATCGACTCTTTCGTTGCGCGATCCAGACCTCAATCTCCTCCGGTGTCTCCGGAGGGGCGATATTAGTCCCAATGAGCTTCCCGCCGTTGAGAGAGAGCCATGTAGCTTTGTCCATATCAGGTTTATCATCACGCTCCCGTTTCTGCTGCTTTCTAGGAGGCGGTTGGGGAGGCGGGCTAAAGTGGCCATAGGAGGAGTGGGTAGGCCAGCCGGCAGCGGGGAAGGGTGGATGCTGCTGCTTTTGGGGTGGTTTGAGGGGTAGGGATCGCGGATGCTGGGACTGGTAGTGTTCTTGAGAGTAGGAGAGGTATGGGTTATGTAACTGCTGCTGGGAGGGAGGAGGAGGAGGAGCTGGTGGTGACTGGTACTGTGGATTTGTGTAGATTGGGTTGTTGTTTAAATAGTGGTTTTGATATGGTTGATGTGGCTGCTGCTGATATAATGGGTATTGCTGGTATTGCTGATTCCCATGGTGCTCCTGATGTTGCTGATGTACTACAAAGGCTGGGTTGTAGTGTGCAGCTGGTGGGAATTGAGGGAGTGGATGTGGTTGCCGCTGCTGTTGGGGGAATTGCTGGTACTGTTGACCTAGACTAGAATCTCCCCATTGTCCCCCAATACCAGCATTTCCACCACCACCACCACCACCACCACTACCACCACGATTGAAGCCTCCGCTATGTGCGCCTCCCCCTCTATTGCCGCGATTGCCTCCAGAGCCGCGCTGTGAGTTCGCATTGTATCCCCCGCGATTTGCGCTGCCCCCGGAGCTGTTGGAAGGTGTCGGTGGTGGTGGGGGCGGTGGTGGGCGATATATGTAATCCGACATCTTTTGTTATACTCAGTTAATTGCTATTTCGCAACACAAATGAGATTTTGTAGAAGGAAAAAAACTTGGCTTGTAGCTCTGTTGTGTTACCAGACAGGGGTAGAAGAAGAGCCGCAAAGCTTGGATGTCTTGAGTTGGGTTGGGCCGGGGTGAATGATAAATGATTTATCGGCTTTTCTCGGCAACGCGCTGAATTATTCGGGTTCCCTCCCAACTTCCGGCACATTCACAGAATTATATAAATTCCGAGGCACCTACATAACTCCCGTGGGGATATAGAACATAGGGGCACCGCGTGAGTTCCATCATAGAGTATCACTCGCATGCTCATGGTTCATGGGGAGGCATCTCGTCATAATATTGTTTCTCCAGTGACGTTATTAAACACTTTTAGGCGTTCGTAAGGCTAGATACCTGTGCCTGACAACCGCCTGTCGAGGTTCCCAAACACGTGAGCAGTAGAGAGATGAAGCTTGGCGTTCTGAGGTCTGCATACATGTAGACTTGCGTCAGTAATGGCGCAATGTCGATTCCGGCGACCGCCGCTGCACTAAAACTTCTTGACGTTTGAACCAACACCACCGAAACTGAGTCAAACATTCTGTAAACTGAACAGACGGAACGACCTACAATGATACCTACACGAAGACTCCTAGGCCCAGTGTAAACCCCCTCCCCGCTTTTCAGTGTGAACAAAAGTGAAGAAGCTCACGCATGTCCCTCCAAATAGAGCCCCCCGCTCGTCATACTACCAGTCCGACTACACACAAGGGCCGTCTCTCATTCGTGCTCGGAAACCCTTTTTGGTCAAGAACCTTCTCACCGGCGCCGCTATTCTGACGCTGACTGGGTCAATCTGTAATGAGTTCCCTGGTCGTATCAAGAGAGAGAATCATAACGGGATTGCTGACACGTAGGAATATATAGACCTCTACACAATCAAGGCTGTCGCCCAGGACAACTTTGAGGATGTAACAGTACCAGATGCGCCCACCCAGCCTGCAAAGACACCGAATGTGGGCACTAGTACCATCACAAGTGGACCTTTAGGGAAATGAGATATGGGTGATAAGTTTGGGAGGGGTTAATTTGGGACATTGTAAATTTAGTACAGTAACGGAGCAGTCTTTAGTTCCCCGCTCAATTCTGTATAAATTATTAGTACAGCTCTCGTGTCCGAATAATACTTAACATATGCGATTTCATATCTATATGTAGCTCTAGTCTGTTGCAAAGGATGGCATCGTTCAACATTTGAGGCTGGTTAAAAAGCATTTCCTTGGCAGGCGTTTCATTATCCAACAAACGCGCCACACCAACAATAGAATATGTTGTCCCAGTGTTGCACACGTCCTCGCGAACCTTCAACAAAGCGACGTCCAACAGCATCAATCTCAATCTTTTCGCAATCGATCCATTTTCTTCTTCTTTCAGAGGGTAAACTACTAACATAACAATACCTCTGCTTCCCAAACCCTCGAGGAGATAAGATTTCCTGAAGCAAAGCTAAGAAGGGGGAAAGGCTGAAGGAAGCGGCTCAATTTCCTCTTACACTGCCAGTGCTGGCTTCTATTATTTACCTACCTCACTTCTTACTACACTGTTGCCCCTGTAATCTCATCCTCCCCTTCCAACCTCCCAGTTCCTTTCCATTCTCGCGTCGTAATAGAGCAACGTACCGTACCGTACCCGCTAGAGCAGGCCAGAACAGAGAGAAGAACAGAAAGCTAGCCAGGCAAGTCTGGCCAAGAAAAGAAACAAGCCATAAGGCTCGAAGAAAAGGAAGTTCGCAGGCCAAATAAAACATCCCCCCCAAAGAGAAGAAAACACTTATAATGGCCGCCACTCCCGTCGCCGACCAACTCCGCCAACTGGGCGATGCCCGCGCTCTAGTCCTCGGCGACCCTGTCTACTGGCCGCAAGTCCTCCACGGGATCCTGCCTATCGTGTCTGGGCCTATCGTGGAGCTACGTCGTTGGGGAGCTGACTTCCTTGCAGAGACTTTCTCGACGCCCGTGGTGGATATCAACGAGAAGCAGAGCCTAGCCGTGACGTGCTTGGACACTATGGTGAGGTTGATGGATGAGAAGGAGGCGGGCATCCTCAAGAGTGTGGTCCAGTGTAGTGCGAGTGTGTATCCGCTGGTGTTCAGGTATATGTACGTGCTGCTGCCACTACTGCTTTGGTTTTTTGAAGTTCAAGTTTCTTTGCCTTTGCCTATCCACTCTATCCATTTATTTTATTACCAGTCCAGCCCGTTACTACCCCAAATCAAGGAAAGACTCTAGTTTGTCCACTTGAGTTTGATTTCCTGCGCTCCATGTTGCTTTTTTCTTCTTTTTTTGTTTTTATTTGGTGTTGCTTTTCTGGAAAAGAAGACAATGACGTGAGGAACGATTTACTGAGACCGAGTGCTTTTCTTGCCGTTATTAAATTTCCAGGTGCAATAATCGAGATGATCAAGCTACATGGGACAAAATGGACATGATCAAATCCAAGATTCTGAGTCTTTGGGATTCAGGGCCAGTGGGTGTGCGCCTAGGGTGTATCAAGTTTGTCCAGCGTGTCATATTGGTGCAGTCGAGGGGAGTCACGGATCCTAGAGTGAGTGTTTTTTCTTCTTTATTAGCTTTATTTGATAATGCTCCCTTCGATACTTCCCGACGTCACTAATAGCTGAATTGGTTGGGGTGTATAGCTTGCAGACAGGTCAGAGATATCATTGACTATGGTCCCTACTAACCACCCTGTACTTTCCTTGCCTGCACTGGATGCGGAGGCGCAAGGTCTACTCGATAGGCTTCTAAGTATTCTCCATGAGGACCCAAGGTTGGACAAAGCTCTCATTTAGTTCATCAATTCATTCATTCATCTACCCCCCCCCCCCCCCCCCCCCCCCAAAAAAAAAAAAAAAAAAACAACCCCTCAGTAGATAATAATAGGTATTGATGATCGATTTCTCGACAATCTGTCTATAGTGATCCTGCTCTCACCACGGCAACCTTGAATAATTTGTCGGTAATTGTCAAGACGCGCGCTCCACTCGCACACAAGATCTTGAGTGCCGTGATGAACTTCAACCCGCTGGCCATCATCGCAAAGGCGAATACTGTAAAAAACCGCCTCATGATGCAGTGCATGGAGAAGACGGTACGGATATTGTTGATGAACATTGCACGGTATTGCCCCCACATATTCCAGCTGCGAAGAAGTAATGCGGCGATGGGGATTACTGACTCTCTACTCCTCCGGTGATAGTGCGAACCAGAACGGGCCATACACGGCCAAGATCTCTCAACACATCACTCGTCTCTCGCAGGCAAAAGTTGAGGTCCTCGAGGAGCTATCTCGAAAGAGGCCAGCCCCTACTCAGACACAGCCTGAGGCCGAGGCGATCAAGAGGATGAAGGTGGAGAATGCGCAGGCGCAGGCTGTGATCACACCCACAGCTACACCACCCCCACCGCCACCTGTTGCTGTTATCACTGGACCAATGACTTATGGACAGCTTTATACGCTTTCGACTGATGTAGCCATGACTAGCTTTGATGGGCAGCAATTGCCAATTGATTTGGTGCTACAGATAATTGTAGGCAGTATCAACAGCTTGAGTCAGCAGACTTTACAGGCGGCGATCGCGGTATGTTTTCTTATGTTTCTCCCTTTTATGAATTGGGGAGGTTGCTGATTGGCAGGTTATATAGGCGGTTAACAACCGGTATACTGCGCTTATGGCGTATGTACCACCAGCTTCCGTGCCAATCCCAGCACAAGATGGTCAAATAGGCCAGGCTGCTCAACCAGGGGCTGAGGAAACGCAAGGTGAGCAAGTAGAACAAAGAGATATCGAAAAAAAAGAAGAAGAAGAAGAGGGGGAAGAGGAGGAAGAGGAACGTGAGCTCCAACTCGGGAAATTCCGTCTCCCTCCTCCGACCTCACTTGCCCCAGAGGAAATGCATGATATAGCTATCCAGGCCATAGACAGAATGTTTTCCGTTGTGGACCAGTTTGATAAGACCTCTCTCATCTCTCGGAAAAGTAAGCTGGGAGCGAATAGGCTAGCGGCTAGTAATTGGGATAGAGAGGGCTGGATTGCTGTCCTTACTAGACTAGCAACTCGTGGGATGGGTGATACTGCGCCTGATACTGTGAAGAAGGAGGAGGTGAAGGGTGAAGATGAAGAAAATGGAGAGATCGCTCAAATGCAAGTCCCAACTGCTTTAAGCACAGCGATTCGCGAGAAACTGTACAACTTTGTCATCGCCGATTTCAGAGGCAGGATGGATGTTGCTGTGTCATGGCTCAATGAGGAATGGTATAATGACCAGGTGATGTCGCGCGCGGGGGTTAATAGGGAGCCGCAATACCGCAAATGGATGATGAAAGTTATGGATGGGATCTTTCCATTTTTAGAGAGTAAAGATAGGCTCTTTATGAGGTTGCTCTCGGAGATCCCAGAGGTTACGGTAGAGCTCATGCAGAAGGTTAAAATGCTGTGTTTGGACCCAGATAGAGCTATGCTGGGAATTCAGATGCTACAGTTCGTGATCACTCTCGCCATTTGAATATACATGGTGGATACTGACCAAGGGCAGCTATTTGGCGATGTTGAGACCCCCGGTCAGGGACATGTGCATGGATGTCCTCGAAGATTTGTACCAGAACCGTAAGTTGCAGTTTTTCTTACCAGAACTCTAAAAACGTTGTACTGATAGTCTCCTACAGACGTCGAAGTCCGTGTTCAAGCACAGAAGCTCTTGCAAAAATGGAGGCCGGAGGCGCTTGCTGCCATAGATAACGCGCAGAGCAACGCCCAGAATGCAAATGGCATGACGGCCACTCTGGTACAGAGGAATAGTGCAACAACAGCCACGATTAACTAGCAATAAACCTTACCTTATAATTGCTTTGGGGGATGGTAGCTTAGTTTTTACGTTCTATATCCTACTCATTTCCCCTACCTAACATCTGCTTCTTTTTTGATTCCGTGTAGAAGTATTGTGGGACTGTTTCCTGAAAAGCATGGGCCGGAGTTACGTATTATTGATTTGATGTTCTACTTGTCACTGGTTGAGGATCGTTGAATGTGCTGATACCTATATTCTTCCTCTCTTCTATTTTCTATCTCAAAATGTCATCGGGAAGCTTGTATCACTACTATTATTATTATTATCCTCTTCGCGTTTTAGTAATACCATGTAATAACGCAAACAATTAACCAGAATATGGTGGTGATGACGATGGTGATATTCATGATCATCACAATGGAGTGAAACTGTGGAGAAATCATGGGCATATTGCATATAAGACATGGGACTGCCCCTTCTGCCCATCCCTTGCAGTCCTTGCATGAGATAATGTTCATAAAAATCTTCTGGAAGACGTTTCAACGATAGATAGACTCAGGGATTGGCTGCCGGCCGGGGGTGATTATTTTAAGATTTTGTATGTAAGTGCAAGAAAGTGGGAACGAGCCTCACTCACCACAGGATTACAGTCTGAACAGTCAGACAGACGCCCGCCGTCTCAACCCAGACTGGTTCCGACCCCTTGAGCCTGTCAGGCAAGTGTCCCAGCGCGCAGGAAGGACTCAAGTAGATAGAGGGGCCATACATGTACTTAAGCGAAGAAACAGAGAGAGTGATACATGTAGATATAGTACCGCATGACCGCCATTTCTTCCACTTCCTCTACGTAAATTTACTCTTTCTTCTATTTTATTACACCCGCCCGGAGATATCATGACAAAACAATTCCAAGAACTGCAGTGTCTACAAGTCCTTCTGCAGAACGATATTGGTGAGTCTATCCTCCACTCTTCCACTCCTGGTCCCTTTCTCACCTCATCTTCTCCTATCTCCTACCTATCATGTATTATCCTTTCCTATTTTTTGCTCTTGTCCTCATCATCAGCATCCTCGCTACCGCGTTTTCGCCCCAAGAGATGTCTGTGCGGTTGGGGCGACCATAAATAGTGAGGCAAGTAGCAGATCCCGGCCAGGTAGGGAATTCAGGAAGGAGGGGGGTGCCTACCAATTCCCTTCCCTTGGTTGTTGTCTGTTGCTTGTTGCTGCTCTCTCAGTCTGTCCATAAACAATCCAAATTACACACATCTAAACAAATACTCTCTTTCCCCAGGGGAAAAAAAAAGGAAATCAAAATTACCAAGAACAGAACACATACTGAATTCGGGGAACTCTGGGCTGACGCGAGAACCTCTCCGACAAAATCGAGTTTGTTCGGAGAAATAAACAGACGATAGAGCTGAAGAGATATTTCAACTTGAACAACTTACTTCCGGTATGAACGGCAACACGCCCACCTCTGGCGACGATGATATGCCGCTGCCACCCGGTGTTGTAACTCCCGACGGGAGAAACAGTAGTGATATGGATGGCCAGAGGACCCCGGATCAAAGGAGAAGTCTTGACGGCCGAGACGCGGTTGACTTATTGTCAATCTCTCCGGGGCCGAATGGCGACATTTTCGATGGTACAACACAGCAGAGCTCGGGTAATCGGATTCAGACCGGAAAGAGTGGACGGGTGATTGAGAGGCTCATGGCGGAGAACGATCGGTTGAAAAGGGACCTGAAGACACAGACCACGGCGAGGGAGGAGGAGAGGAAGGAAAAGGAGGCTATCCGGTCATCAAGAGATTCGCTGCAGAGTACAAACGAAAATCTCATACACCAGACCAATGTCGACAAAACCTCGCTTGCTCGAAAGGATCGCAAGATCGAAGAATTGAAGGCGGAGAAGGAGCGAGAGATGGCGAGACGTCAGGAAGCAGACTCGAGTCTCCACGAGCTTGTTAGGCAAAGTGACGTGAAGGTTCAGGAACTGATGACTACCCTAAGCAATGAGACATCGGAAAGAAAAAAGGCAGTGAATCAATATGAGGTTCTGCAACAGAGTTGGAAGCATTTAGACGAAGGTTATAGGACAAGAGTTGATAGGTTACGAGCTGAGCTAGAAGCTTTACAGTCGGAGCGAGAGCGAGACCACCAACTACTGAAGCGGCTCGAGGTCACAATCGAACAGCAAAGGCAAGAGGTCGAAAAGCTGCGGGTCGCCAAGAATCGGATTTCCGATAAATACACGAAGACCATGAACGATACCGAGAGAGATGTTGGTGATATACGGATAAGGGCGGATGCCACTGGGAGGGAAGCGGATGAGATTCTGGCTGATGCAAAAGAGACCCTTGGAAAGCTACGACATGTTATGGCTGTTCAGAGGGACTTGCGGAAGACTTGAGTAATTTTGCATTGTGAGGGTAGTCACATCATGCATGTGCAAGATGGTGTATTTCTCATAGATTGGTGCAGGAGTTTGGCGACTACTGTATGGTTGTTGATGTTTAAGTTCGATCTAGTGATTTTCATACTAGGGGACAGACCGGTTCTGCAGAATTGAAATGATCAATTAGGAGCATTGGGACGGGGTTTGGCTGGACAGCACACAAAACGGAGTTCTCTTTGTTTTCGTCTCTTACTCTCTCGTTTCTTGCTTTTCGTTTTTTTACTTTTTTTTTGGTTATCGAAAGGGCCCAGCTCGGTCAGGGGAACAGTGGTTGAATGGTGTTGGATGGGATTCTGAAGGGATCAAGTTGGTGTTGTTTCTATACTTTTATACCACATTTTGCTTTAACTTCTTCATTGTCTAGATCGCACGGAGGAGGACTTGCAGGAGGGGTAGGTGGGATCTTGATCAATCTATGCCCATGTGTACCATAGAAGAGGCGGAATCTTTTTTCTTCCGGGGATATTTCGGAGGTTGTGCCAATGTTTTTTTTTATTATTTGTTCGTGTGTTCTGGTTTCTTTGTCAGTATATCTTGCGGTAATGATTACTACATGTAGTGTTTTAGTACTTTCTTTACCTTCATTTGGCGAGCGTACTATTCCCCTGGCTAACCCCCTATGTTCTTCAACATCTATTTTTCTTTTATGTCTTTTCTTCTATTTCTCTTCTAGTATCTTAAGGTTTATGTTTATATTTTTCGGGACTTCAATTTTTTTTTTTTTTTTTTGGTATTCCACCAAGAAACTATATCACTCACTCAAGTTAAGTATTTCATTCTAATCTAACAACTTCATATCTAGAGGTCTTTGGCAAATATTGTAGCCAGTGCCGCTTATTCTTCTGTATATATTGCGGCCTTCTGCTGCGGATAGGAGGATTAAAATAGCTAATTATTAGCATACAGCTATGGGAGATACGCATCGTAGGTACTACATATAGATCAGCTTATCTCTATAGCTATTGTACATGTCTTGTGTTTACTTTTCTATTTCCCGTGCGTGGCAAAATTCACGAGGTGATCCAAGCTCCCACTTATCACTGTGCCGTTGGTAATCTCCGGCCGGAATACCATCATACGAAATACGGTTAGTCTCAGCACGAGGATATGATTTTGCGAGGAGGTTCATCAAGCCTTGGCGTAAAATTATCTTTGTCTAGATGCTTCGAGTGACCACTTATGATCCGGAAATCTTAGGACAAAAATACCTCAGCACGCTTAGAGCTACAAGCTACAAGGAGAAAGTTGGAGCTCCAAAGTACACTTAATTTTTGGTGTGGTTTCTAAACTTGTATCCTCCGCGTCGTATGTAAACGTACATACATATACATACAGCCACTCTGCAAAAGTGTTCGTGATTTAGTTTTAATGTCAGTGCGCAGTGTGGCGCACCCGTGGAGTTGATGTTATTAATGTTGAGATTCAAAACAACGAAAAATATATAATATAGTTCGTGACTATATATAAAAGAAAGTAGGTCATTAATCACCTTCAACATTGATTTCGGGCGCCATTGGTCACTAGGAAAGTCTTCTATTGGGGGGTTTTGATGGTCCACCACGGTTGGACATGAAGAAATGTCTCACTCCGAAATCGGAATCACGAACACTTTTGCAGAGTGGCTGTACATCTAATATGCACTGCCCTTAATTCTTGCGTGCGTCGGAGGCACTTTGATTAGAGAGTATTTACCAAGTGTCAAAACCGACAATTTACACTTCGCCACATTTAAACGTGGTTGCCGAAACCGTCAACTCTGGCCGGTTTGCTAGGGTGGGGATGTATACTGTGGGTACTTGTAGTTGTGCTGGATTTTTATTGGGTCCGGAACTAGTGGGAAACGGCTTCGTAAGGAAGTTTCCCAAGGGCTGTTGCTTATTTTCACCTACATGTAGTTGCCGGATTTAGAGTAGGTAGTAAAAGAGTCGGACCCAATAAAGAATCCGGCAAGTACATGTACTTACTAGTGCTTTCTCTAATTTGAGAATTTGAGGCTCAAATATAGCGCCAAGGCGGATAAGGCATCCAGCCCTAACGCCAAAGCTACATGTAGCTCCCGCTGTCACCCAACATCTCTTTCCCTCTCAAACCCTGCGTTCTTTCAACTTACTAAGTTAAAAGTTATCTTTTCATCACCAGAAGTAAAAGCCCCTGCTCGTTATCTCTCACCAGTGGTAATTGGTATTTAACAATTGCTTCAAATAGGATCGCTAGTTGCGCTCTATATTCTAGCCATGGCTGACGACCCTAGTATAGTTGTCACGATCCGCACAGTAAGTCCTGAGATCTATACGAAGTTGAAGTTTGCTGAAATCAACGATTCAGGTTTTTGAGTATGGCCCTATTGCTGTAGACAGTCTCATCAATACCTACAAGTAAGCCAACATAATCTCTCTGTTTGCGGACGTTCCTAAGTTGATACATATAGGCAAGAGAGTTATGCGAACCATGTTGAGTGCAAATTCAATCCTATAAATCACGTAGTTTCCCTAGAGGTGTTTGTTTATCTCCGAAATAACAAACTAACCCACCTCTAGACGTTCGTTCTAGAAGGGGATAGAAGACATGCTGAAGTCGCATTTACGAATTTCATGGAGTTGATCCGCAAAGCGATCGATACAGAGACGTCGAAACGCCGTACACCAAAGGTATTGGTTCCCTCTTGTCACATACCTCGCAATAACTGAATTAGGTCTAGGAATATGCGCCCATCCATCGTTCTAGGCTCACAAAGCTTAATTCACCAGCTATTGAGTGGTCAGAAAGGGAAGATGAACCCAGAGATTCTTATAAGAAGCAAAATGACATCGTAAGTCTATTTTCAAAGGAGAGCTATTACAGAGACTGAATCTAGAATAGGTTTCTTCGAGAGATCCAAGATATATCCTACAAAATCCCTCTACGTTGGCGGATACGACTGGCAACTATCCATGCATCGAATATTGGGAACCAAGAATTACAGCGGCGGATTTTAGTTTGATGTTACATCTCCATGATGGACGTAGTCTCACGAACGAGATTGCGAAGGTGTGCTATTGCGCTGTTTTCCCAGACTGGGAAAAGAGGAATGTCAAGATCGGCGCCAACAGTCGCCCGACAATCGAGAAAGTCCTCAAGAAACTTAGAAAAATTGAAGAACTCTTTGTAGGTTCTCCCTAAAAAATTTGAATTAAGCTTTGACTAATCCCAAGAAGAAACGCGGATTTGAACCAATCTCGGTAGTTTTGGTTCATCCCGAGGAAAAGAAAAAGTTTGAATTCAAGCTAGTCCCATTATCAAAGCAGAGTGAGCTGCAAAGGACGACACTGTTTTACGACAAGTCTAAATGGCAAACATATGGCGCTGATAAGATGTTCCTTATTCGACTTCTGGAATACAATCCTGACTTGGATCGGTTTTTCCCATGTGATGTTGCAATAGCACCCATTTGGGCAGCATTCACACGATCTGCATCTGCACCACGTGATTGGGCGGAGTATATATTTGATGTCTGGGGTAGTCAGGATATGAACCCGACCAATGTGTCTAAGAGGCTAGTCTCTAAGAAAGTACCGGAAAGCCCTGATATCTCAGGTCTCAACCCCGAAGATCTTGTAGGCCAATACAATAGTCCTGGAGGTGCAGCAGTACAGACTATTATCAAAGACGTGCCTACCCCTAAACCTGCACGTCAAACACAGCCTAGGGTCGATGGTGGATTTGAACTTGGTGATCGACCAGAAAGTGTAGACTTGGCCGAGAGGGCGTCGAAACGCTCCATGACCGGTGCCGTACGCGTTCCTAGAGTGAGAGCCGGTAAAGAAGCGCTCCTCGAAGAACATGAAGAAAGCCCGAAAGAAGAGGGAACAAAAGCTAGTGTTATATCTAGCGAATATTTTAAAGAACTTCCTGCTTTCGATCGTAATGTCAAAACTGAGGACGAAGGCGAGGGCGACACCTCGCTGAAAACTCATAACGTTATATCTCAGGTTTTCAGTCTTCCCGAGAGACACCTTGGAACTGGTATTGGGAGGGCTGTTAATATACATGGTTCCTTTGTAGAAAAGGAACAAACAGGTGCTGTTACTACTAGGACAGTCAGACAACCAAGAGTGAGGAAGCCAAAAACAAACACCGAATCTTCTGATAAGGAAGGTGTCTCAGAGGTAGATACTCGAGAAATTCGGAGCACTATGAGACAGAAGGCGCCTAGCCACAGAGGCTTATTTGACGGGCAAGATCAAAGCAAAAAGTTACCATCTATCCCCAGCTACATGCATGTACACATACTTATGTTACGATATTGACGAGATGCAGGCTCAAACAATTCAACAGCTTAAAATTTTATGATACAATTAGCAAGAGGTAAGACTTAGGATATCTATTTGGCTGTGACAACGTACTGATATATTGGTAGCTTTGAACATATTCGCAGTTGGCGGGGCCACGTTACTTTCGAAGCTTCGTAAGTCGAGTTACCACATATACGTTTGAATACCCTGGAGTGCTTACTTTATGAAGATTAGGACGTATCATTTTAGCCGATGTTCCTAAGGCACTTTCTAGGGGTAGCATTGACTGGACTGAGTGGTCGCAATCGTTAACGAAAGCCCCGGAGATAAAAACGATATTTACTGATTTGTAAAGCCATTTGTTGCTTATGGTCTTAATAAAGATATGAGTGCTGATATGACACGCGTTCAGAATGACCACCGAGTTCTTCGACATGGAGTTTATCTCCGACTTAAAAATGAGCAAGGCCGAAATGCTCTTTTCTCCGGACCATATCAAAAAAACGGTTACCTACGAGTTTCATTGTAAATATAAAGGGAAAAACTAGTATGATTTCACTTCTAATCTCCCCCCCCCCCTTTTTTTTTTTTTTTTTTTTTTTTTTTTTACTGGACACTGTCACTGATCTGTGCAATAGTATTATGGAGGTTAATGCCAGAACTTTTGAGGCGACCATCTACGGCGACCAACAAGCATTTGGCAGTGTTTACTGGGCCCATCCTCTTAGGTTTGTCTATCCGAATTCATCTGAGGATAATCAATTGAACTTGTTCTAGGTCATGGGATGCCAGATTTGCTCTCGTTGGGAGAAAGATCATTGATAATGAAACGCCCGTCTTCAAGGATCTTTTCGAAAGTCTCTGGATTCCAGGTGATTCTGATATTCCAAACGTCAGTTTTCTTGTGAGGGGGAAAGACTTTTCTGTCGACAGAGTTATCGTCAAGCGGGAAACTCGGCGCCCATGCATTAGTAAAAAAGTCACAGAAGGACAAGATATCGACCTTGTTTGCAAAGAAGTAATGGAGATGATCATCAGGCGTAGCAAGCGAGTACCCGAGCAATATAAGGCCGTAGCTCATGACAGGTAAGATAAACCATTCCCGTTGTAGTTCACGAGGCCTCCGGTTCGCATTGATCCCAAGGGTTTTGAGGCACACCGAGGACCAATACCCCGAAGCCAGGCAAAGCCAAAGGTCTAGACAAGGGAATTTTTGTGCCTCGACTCGATGACCTCGTGGACTACACAGCTTGCTCTGGTTCCTCGATCCTAATTTTTAGCGAATTATGCTGATATCGTTTAGGTTGCACATGGTGTTTTCTGGCATGCTTCATTATTCATTCGCTCTGATTCCAACCAGGATTGAAAGGGCCCTGCAACAGAACACAAACCTCGAGATTGGTGAAGAGGTTTTGTGGACGACAGACAGTCTTATCGGCAAATACAATGAGGGTGAGAGTAATATTTGTAGGGGCCTAGAGTCGCTTGTCTTCACAATGCTAAGAAAGACTGATGATATCGGGTTTAACAATAACAATGGGCCGGATGAGATGGAATTCGCGTAAGAATAGTCCTATAGTTCTTCTTTTTTAACTACCGGGTCTTAAGTGGGTTAGCCTATTCCTTTACTCTTTTCAATCTCTTAAGAATTTCTATTGTAACAAGTCATGAAATTCGTTTGAACTGTAACGAGTGATAATATATGATTTATATATCACGCGCTGGGATTTATGCTCATAATTATGTACCCTTTTCCGAAGCTCTATGACGTCACCTTGAGTCTATCTCCGATTAGTAATGCACTATTATGTCTAGCTGGTTTTACTACCCTGCTCACATCTGAATTTATACTCTAGACGCCTTCACTGGGGTATGGTGCTCACGGGGGTATGGTGCAACAAGTAAGAACGACAAAAATGGGCACAAAAAATATGAGGAATATCAGCAAATAAAGCTTATAGATACAATTTTCTGTGCAAAATAAGGACTTCTGTTGATTTTTCTCGAATTCTCCATGCTCATTTTTGACGTTCTTGAACGTTGCACCATACCCCCGTGAGAACCATACCCCGTGAAGACGTCTACAGGCTGACTCAAGATTTTAACATGCATGCGCATTACCACTGTACTATGATAGTCCGATCAGTGAACGCATCCGTGTCAGTCAACAAAGCACTCCGAGGGTTAAACCACTACTGGTCATATATATAGACATGATATGGTTCCTGAATTCTCAACCTACTGGATATTAGCACGTTGTTAGTAACCTTTTACGCATGTCGCACGAGGCGGCCACTCATCACGACTACTCAGTTGCAATTTAACTGACCGAAACTGTAAACTCAGAGTTGCACCTAAGCATATTTCTCAAATTAGCATGATAGACCATCTAGTCTCAGTGAACAGCTACATAGTAGCCTCACACGGTATTAATGATAGACATCTTGCTTGAATCTGTAATGCAATTAATGAATTAAACAAAAAAAGGCTTGAATCTGTACCAGACCTAACCCTGGCGCTAAGCCGTCTCAGGACACTGATCCCGTAAATATTATCATTACCCCATGATTACTAAACTTCCAACAGCACGATGACCTCCTATCCAGCCTACCTTTCGTTTTATTCAGTGAATTTCAAAGAAGTCAAGGACGTTGATATGCGTATTATCTGGACCCAGGGGATGTGGGCTGCAAACTGGCCTGTCATTGCATAGCATGTATGTGCTTTGAAGGAAATTTTATACATGTAGTACCGAGGGAAATTTGACAGCTTGCTCATTTGTCACTACACAGATTGTACGAGGGGAGGGTGGCTTAGGAAATCAATTTTTCCTTTTGAGAAACTACTGATTGAAATTACTTATCTGGACATCTCAAATCGTAAAACTTTCAACACAGAGAGACCGTAAAAATGAATCCAACGCCACCCACCATCCCTTAGAAAAGCCGATATTTCACCAAGAAAAAAATCCTTCCAGCAATAATCCCGAATTCTGCACAATTTAGCTTTTACTACGGAAATAATACTTTCCCAACACTTTTAAAATAAGAATAATTGAAGGGCAATCTATAGATGGAATTAACCAGGGCCTAGACCTGTTAACCTGCGATGTTAAGTTCTTCCTTCCAGGGTTAAAACATCAATCATATCATGGGTATATTTGTTTTTCCATGTTGGGCACCTTCAATGTCACCGTTTTTCTAGCACTCCATGGACCTTTGGACGGATCTGTGAGGACAGCTTAGAGATTTATCAAAGAGAACGAGCCGGGGAACCAAGAGTTACCTCCTGAGTTTCTTATTATATTCCTTTTTATCCTCCTTAGAACCCCAATATAATTTTGAGGCTTCTTGGTTGACCTGCGTACGTGGATCGTAGGGAGGATTTTCTTCCTCCATGAGATGAATGATAGCATCAATGTGATGACGCCCATCATCATATCTTCGGGGGGAATAACACGGAATACCATCGGCTAGGTTCGCAATACGTCAGCAAGCTATATTCGAGGGTATCTTAAAGCCATCCATACTTGTGATCCTGTGGTGATAAAGATGAGTAAGAAATCTTGCTCGTGGCTGTTCCTCTGGAAACCTTGGACTGAATGCCAATTCAAAAGTGAATAGACCGCCATCTAGGTTCGTCATCGGTCGTCCAAAGTAGGTCTGATGAATATATTAGTCGTTTGATATATATGTGTTATAATGTCTGGAACTTTTTCACGCACAACTCGCCAAAGGAACGGATTGCCGTTAACCAATTCAACGTCTAGTGTGACGGAGGTTTCTTTCTTGAAGTGTTCCACTGTCTGCTCAAACTGCCTCTGCAAGTTTGCCGCAACACCACTTTCCTTGCCTTTCAGAATCAACCCTTCATCCGCCCAATCCTTAGTCTCCTTTTCAAGCCGCTCTTTGATAAGTCTAAGTCTTCTTTCCAGTTCGGAATACAAGAACTTCCCCTCCATTGCGTTTCCAGAGTGCTCAAACGGCATCCTAGCGAATACTTGATTCTCTGTAACCTTCTCGCGCTCTGTGGCGATGGAAGCAACATAAGAGTCATAATACCAAAGAAAGCGGCGTTTACAGAGATCCTTGAAAGGCTCAAACACTGCGGGGGCTTCCAGATCCACTATACTAGAGTCTTCGTCATATGCGTCCTGTTCCATTGGACTAGGCACGGATTGAATTGTGCCGTCTGGATTGATGCCAAGATGTTCTTCAAGCCTGGATATCACAGAGACACGGAGTGTTTCGTGACGAATCTGAAAATTTGGAAATATAGATAAGCAATTTGTCTATAGCATAGGTAACAATCTGGGAATTACTTTGAGACAATACGCCTTCATGTTTTCTTTATCGTGGTCTTGGTTTGCATTCTCAAAACCGGGCTCATTCTCATACGGGTTAGAGGACATGAGGCTCTGGATTGAGATCAGAATGGATTCAAGCCCTTGTGCCGAAGACCACTCCTCTCCACGATCTCCTCTCCATGTTCTGATTTGATAACTGTAAGCGTAACGCTCTTTACTTGTAGTGGATTTTAAATTCCTACCCTAAGATCGATCTGATTTTGTAGTAAGGTTAGCTCTAGGCTGAAAACAAAGTCGATAAATATAGGCGAACTTACAAGCAAACCTTTCCCGCCGCATATATATTTGGATTAAATCGACACCTTCCAGAATTTGTTGTTAAGGAATTAACTGCCGGGGCCTTTGCAGGGTAATCTATGAAGTAGCATTATGAGCTCAAAGTTGCATGTTTGGGAGATATGGCATATGTTGTAGGGTGTTAGTAACGATTTCAGCTTACCTCTACCAAATTTCAGTGAAAACTGAGAAAGCAGCTGGAGTTAGCGTGAAATAACGGAGCGACATTTAGGAGATTACTGCTATTTGGGTTGAACGAAGCTTGAGGAATGGGAGCAAAAGAACATAAAGGAAAAAGAGGCGTGAGTTGGGATAAAAACCTCGAAGAAGCCGAACTCGTATGGTGTGTCTGGAGGTCCCAAGATGATGGCTTTGACGTTTCGGACATCCGAGTCTTTACATGCCACAGCGATAGCTGAAAGCTCGATGTTAAAACAGCATTCGCAGCGGTGTAATGATTAGCAGGGAAGTAGCTCACATAGGTCGTTTGACTTTTTGATCTCGCTGAGCTCCTATAAGGCGGGGTTAATGAGGGGTTCTTGGGGAATAAGAATAATTATTGATTCAGAAGAGCAACAAACCCTAGTAAGACGTATGATAGATTGGTTCATGTTGGCTGGATACAAAGTAGTCGTAGGAGAGAATAGTATAAGAGCTGGGAACCTAAAGAAGGGAGTTCAAGAGGTATTTGCGGAAGAGGTGAGGCACCAAGCTCAAGGGTCAAGCAAGGCTGAGGTGTGGAGAAGAGACACAAAAGTAAGCAGGGAGATGGAAAAAAGTAGTAGGTTCACTGTTTGCTTCCAATACGTGCAAATGTTACTTTCAGAGTTGCAGGAAGACTCACAGACAGCAAACAGCTGTAAAAAAGTGCAGCACGACTACACAAGCATGTCACCCATCGTGCAGCTCTCTCTGCCCTTGGCAGATGACAAAGAGCAGGCCTTTCCGTATTGGGTTAGAGAAGAGGCCCCTCCACACCTGCGATGCCGAGTTTGGAGAGGAGGGACCCTTCAAGTCTTCTCCTCCAAACAACCTCGTAGAGCGACCATCATTCATGCAGTGAGCGCTCGCCGTCTCGCACCGCCTCTCTATCTCCGTTGACATCAACCACCTAAAGTACCATGGGTAACCTGAACAGCCGATCTATCTTTATTTTTACACTCCCATCAAACAAGTGAGTTTCAGCAACCGGCGTCCCTAGGGATTCACCAGCAGCTTCCGGATGGATTTATCTCTCGCTCCATCTGTATCTCAGCGGCTCAATACTTGCTTAATCCTCTGAACCCCCGCTTACAGTGTTGTGATATCAAAGTTGCAGCCTTCTGTCCCTTGCAGTGCACCAGTTCTACGGGCGCTGCTACCTAGCTGAGAACCTTTTGAAACAGAACCTGGCATGTATCTAGAAAAACCGTAGACGAATATACAAAAAAGGTCGACGCTCTTCGTGTCTCGATCTTTTTGGTTGTCGCGTGCTAGGCGTTAGGTACCTGCGGCTGGCGGTGCTGTTCCGGTTGCAATTGCATTCTGGCCTCGCCCGCTGTCGATTAGTTCTCTGCTCTGCTCTTCCAGTCGTGGAATTTGTTAGCTTCATTTTCCAGTCTCACCTACTTCTCCCCACAACGCAGCCGTGCCCTGGTTGTCTGTCTGGTTGTCCTCAAACACCCAACCTCTCCCGCAGCCCCAAAATAGCCACTCTTCCTCCTCCGCAATCCCTTCTCCACCGCTGGTGCTTCTGCTGCTGCATCCCATCTCCGCTGCTCTGGATAGATACATCATTCGCCATAGAATAGTTGTTTGGTGGATAGAAAGACTGACCGCTCCTTTAGCATTGCCTTCCCCCTCTCACGTACATACCTACACGATCCCCCCCCGCTCTTTTGGGTGTGTGTGTGCATGGGCCATTGTCGCCGAGGGCTTGTCACCGGCTCCCTTGCTCTTCCCATAACCACCCCTTTCCTCCTCGACGACCTCCTCCAGTATCGTCAAAATAGCAACGCTTAAATTTTAATTTTTAAGCTCCCAGAAACTCGGCGTGCGTGACAACTCTGTTCTGTTACCAATCTCATCGGTCGCCGAGCGAGAAATAATTACAACCGAAGCTTTGCACCTAGAGGCTCCCTCGTTATTTTCTTTCTTTCTAATTTTACTTTTTCCCTTCATTTTGCTTTAGACCAGTCCTTCGACAACTAAGCAGCTAGGCAACCCCGTCGAGAATATTGAAATTGCTTCCACATTTACGAGCCAACCTTTTTTAAGATCACATGTCTGCACCATCAGACGGGCCTGGGCGTCCTGTAATCGATTCACAGCAAGACCTCCCTCAACTCACGACCACATTACCAAGTCCCTCGACCTCCCAATCACGAAACAGACAGCTTGATGATCGTTCTCCTACATCCCCAACTGAGCCTGTACCTGTAGGAGGGGGTGTTGTTGTCGGACTGACTCATGGGAGCTCCCCTAAAACTACTCGGATTTGTGGAAAGTGTCAGGGTCCTTTAACAGGTCAATTTGTGCGTGCTCTTGGCGGAACATTTCACTTGGATTGTTTTAAATGCAGGGTAAGTTTTGTTCAGCCTTATGTGATTTTGTTCCTAGAGTTTGCTGTTGTTAACTTGATTTAGGACTGCGGAGTAACAGTAGCCTCCAAGTTTTTCCCCGTGGACGAGGAGGAAGGAGAAGGCCAATATCCGCTGTGCGAAACGGATTATTTCAGACGCCTAGACCTTCTTTGCCATGAATGTGGTGGGGCGCTAAGGGGCTCATACATTACTGCCCTAGAACGGAAATACCATATTGAGCATTTTACATGTTGTGTTTGTCCAACAGTGTTTGGGCCACAGGATTCCTACTATGAGCATGACGGCAAAGTTTACTGCCATTACCACTACTCAACCCAATTTGCAGCCCGGTGCAACGGATGCCAAACCGCAATTCTAAAGCAATTTGTGGAAATTTTTCGGAATGGACAGAATCAACACTGGCACCCGGAGTGCTATATGATACATAAGGTCGGTTTTTTCCGAGAAGTTGGGGGGGGGGTTTTTGCAAACATTATCTCTACAAATTTTATTATAATACTGTGTGCTTTTCTGGGCATTTTTGCGGAATATTTTCGTTCAAATGGCAAGAATAACCGCTAATATTATGTTATTTGGTTTATTTTTAGTTTTGGAATGTTCGGCTTGCGCCTCAGGAAACCGGGGAACCAAAGTCGCCATCTGTAGAGGACCCCTCAACTCAGAGGCGCTCATTGGTTCGGGATGCCGAAGAGAAAATGGAAGACAAAGTCTACCGTATCTGGAGTGTATTATCATCTTTCGAAGAATCTTCTGCAGCATGTATTAGTGACATGCTTTTACATGTCTCTAATGGAGCATATGTAGACGGCGTGTTCGTGGCTGAAAAGTTCATTTGGCATGTCGAAATACTTTTCGGTTCCGCAGATAACTTGGATGCTCAATTCAGTGGCATGTCAGTGAAGGGTACGTTCTTTTGTGATGCACAGCGCTTGGCCGTTTTCGCGGAATCCACCACAAATACCTATTTTTATTAGACATACGTCATAAAGCTGACTCTTTGATTACTACACGAAACAGGTTTGTCTTACTCCAGAGAAGCGAAGCTACTGTGTAAGAAGATAGTTGCGTTTTTTAGTCTTCTCTCGAAAACTCAAGAAACCGGTGTAAGAAAGCTCGGTGTTACACAAGAGCTATTATCGCTTGTTACCGGCCTTGCACATTACCTGAAGCTACTGATACGGATCACTCTGCAAGGCTCCTTAAGATTGGTACTAAGCTCCCGCTTCCCAATGCACCACCCGAAAGCTTGTCTAGCGGAAAATCATCTAACCACATACCGGTATGTAGGAACGAGAGCACAACAACATTGATGCTTTAAGGTTGTTTCTTGAAGAGCTATCTGACTTAGAGTCCACCAAAGAACCAAAACAATCTCTTGAATCGACGCAGGGATTGTCGGAAAACCTAGCAGATCAGCATTCTGATCTCTGTACCGTTTGCCGCACCACCATTGAGGAGGAGTGTGCCAAATTTGATGATAAGAGGTGGCACATGAGTTGCCTAGCATGTTCAAACTGTAAGCGGGAATTGAGGGGCCATCTTGACGAGACCACGTGGTTTGAAGCAGAGCAATGTGTTTTCTGCACCAGTTGTGCCTCTCAAGTATCGGACACCCGTGGGCCATTTGAGCGTGTAACACGCTTAAAACAATACGTCTATCTTCTACGTGTGGCACTTGCCCGGCTGTTACTGAGACTTAGGCAAGGAGGGACACTCCCGCATACATCAGGTACGAATTATATGCTTGTTGGTTCCAAAAAGAATATCTAATAAGTTGTAACTTGGTAGATGACCCCAATCTCCGGAGTTACGATTCCAGTGAGGGTCATAAGCTTGGTAATATTGAACCTCCGCTACTTCGATCAGATACGCGGTCAAAGTCATATAGTGGGGAACGTGGGGAACGCGGGGAACAAACTGAAGCCTACACCAACACGATAAACGACATTCGTAGGTTACGATCGACCCGCCTAGACCGGCAACTTGGAAGTTCGGCGAAGAAAGCCCGTCAGTCCCGAATAATTGAAGGGCCGGAGGCAGACAGTGTGCGACCAGGATCCTCAGATGGACACCAAGTTGATAGGCGCCGTAATACAGGGCAATTCCACATAGTTGAGGACAGGGAATATAATGGAGATGAGCAGGAGGCTCGTACTTTTGGCGATGATAAAGTGCTAACCCTTGACGATATACCGCGAATTGTTGCCGCTGAGCAAGCCCGGGAACAACGGCCAAACGCGTTCAAGCACCACCGGCCCAATCCATATGGAGAAGCGGATGGACCAGGTCAGCCAAAACTTGTTAATGGGCATCAAAGAGATCTCTCAGTTGACAAATTACGAGATATGGGAAGCCAACAAGAACCTCCGCCACCACCAGTTAGGACAAAAAGATATTTTTCGGAACTCTCTGCAATCGATTATTTTATCGTACGACATATTGCAGTTCTTTCAATGGAACCATTGGTGGAAGGTCATTTTAATTTGGAGGAACTGTTAGGACTGATAGAGACCAACAAGAAGACATTTTGGGGGAAATTCGGAAAGGCATTCCAACCAGTTGATAAGAAAAAGGGTGCCAAAAAGAAAGGTGTTTTTGCCGCCGTAGTCAGGAAAATCATGTCAAACAAGAAGCTTACAAAAACACTAGGTGTCTTTGGCGTGGCGCTAGACGTGCTAGTCGAGCGAGACGGCGCCGAATCGAGCATGGGTGTTGGCCCCGGAACTTTACGAATACCTCAAATATTAGACGATGCCGTGGTGGCTATGCGTCAAATGGGTAAGATCCTATCATACTCTATACTTCGGTTACTCTGGTTAAAGTTCTCCTACTGAATGTCTCAGATATGTCTGTCGAGGGTGTTTTCCGAAAGAATGGCAATATTAGAAAGCTTAAAGAACTTGCGGACCAAATAGATCGGAGTGAGACTCAAGTAGAGATGAGCGGCTGGGGCCCTGTCCAAATAGCAGCGCTTTTGAAAAAGTTTCTAAGAGAATTACCGGATCCGTTACTAACATTCAAGCTCCATCGTTTGTTCGTGGCTTCTCAAAGTAAGCAATAGCCTGTAGCAAATATTATCACCTGGGATTGCTGACAGCGTGATAGAAATCATGGATGAAGAGAAGAAACGTCGTATACTTCACCTCACATGTTGCTTGCTTCCCAAAAGCCACAGAGATACTATGGAAATCCTTTTTTCTTTCCTAAATTGGGCTGCGTCATTCTCTCACATTGATGAAGAGTCTGGAAGTAAGATGGACGTTCACAACCTATCTACTGTTATCACACCGAATATTCTATACTCCCAAAAGAAAGAAGCTGGCATGGACGATAGTTTTCTAGCTATTGAAGCGGTACACACACTAATAGCATGTAACGAGACTATGTGCGAGGTAAGAAACTATCTTATAGGCATATTTAAATGGTGGTTGTTAATAATAGTTGTTTAAATAGGTTCCTGAGGACTTATTATCAATACTGAACGACTCCAATCTTTTTGCCAACGGCGCGGATGTTACAACTAAAGATATTTTGAAACGATATGGTGACCTTATTAATAGGCCGGCTCCCGGAAGAACTCCTCAAACTACCAGTTCACCACCAAGGTCTAAGGATGGTAGAGCCCCAACAACCCCCGTCTTCCATCGTGTGGATACCGATCCATCTCAAAATGTTGCGATCCAAAAAGAATCTTCAGTTAGACATGTTGGTATGCCTCAACCCAACCAACCTGGCCAACATTTTCCGCCGAACGCCCATGCCCCAAGTGGTAATCCTAACCAGTACCACCGAGGGCACGGTCGTGGGAATTCCGGTTCAAGCCAGGAGGGCGATATTGGTCAGAACACCATTCAGAATGGCCATGGTGGCCAGAATGGTCCTAACGGCCCGAACCATCATGGCGTCCTTCATCATCCCCCAAATGGTCAGAATCAAACTCAATGGGGTAATCGACAAGGCCAACAAGGTCAAAATCATTCGAGCCAAAATCATCAAGGCCGTCAACCGCAGCAACAAGGCACTATGGGTGTTACTGGCTTAATCTAAGGGCCAAATTCAGTAGGTGTAATAAGGTGGGATATTGGCAAATGGATAAAAAAAAGTATTTTATTTTCAGAGCATTATTGTTCAACCTTCGTTTAATGGGTTCTCTATTTTAATTCATTGATAACCAACCCTTTCCTTTCTTCATTCATGGCTTGGGACGTTTTGGCCGTTTTTATTTCTCCTTTTACCCTTCATGCTTACTTACACAGGCGGGTTTTGTGGTACTTATTCGGGGAGCCAGGTTTGTTAACAAACTGTTCTATGCCACTTATTTGGTTTCTTTCCCTAGTTTCTTTCTTTCTCTTTTTTTGGCATTTGGGATTGGAGTATGGTATGCGATACTTGGATATTCGGGGAGCGGGGCTTGGTGGATATGTTGGTGTTTACTTCTTTTTCCCCTCAATTTCACTTGTTCATGTTTTTTAGTTTCTTTTTTGCGTTATACCTTGAATATTTTTTCTTTTTCCTTTCGTCTTCAACTCCATTTCTCTCCTATTCAAGCATCGTAAAAAATTTCCTCTTATTTTTTGTTTGAGTCGAATTTCTGGTTGGCACGGCATTTGAATGTTTGAATCTTGGCCGGGATGAGGGAGGGGGGAGAGGCCGGTCGGAAGGAAGGAGGGGTAAAGACCGGGGAAGTGGTAGGCCTCATCAAAAAGGTGAGATTCAAGACTGGGCCACAAGTGCTGATGTATTGAGTTTTGAGGATTCCGACTCACATGCTTCTGCACCGTCAATCATCGTCGTCATGTGTAATTTACCCTTTTTAAAGACCTTTTTTTGTCATTTTTCTTTTTCATTTTGCCTTTTATATTATATCCACTTTGGTTTTCTCACTTCTTTTTGATGTTCTGCTCCCCATCCCCTTTATGTACTCTTCTGTTTTGCGCGCCTTGTCTGCACGATGAGCTGTAACTAGAAAAGTGCGCGCGTGTCTATGTGCATAATAATGCTGCCTGGAGGTTGCTTGGAAGGGGTGTTTCTTTTTTTTTTTTCCTTTCCTTGGCTTAGATAGAAGTTACACCATGAGCACGAGTGTGTTTCGAATTAATCGTTGTGGGGCTGGATGTGCCCAATCACAGCTGTCTGTCTCCCTCCTCCGGTAGAAATTGGGGGAATTCTGGAAGAATCGAGAAACCCTAGCCCTACCTGCTGCTGATCTCATCATCTGATCATTTTATTTGAACATATCAATCATGCTTGCAGATGGCATTTCATCTGGAGATACCGTTAGATTTACTCTAGAATAGAGTAGAGTACCTACATGCCTTGGATAGGATGCTATGCAATGTATCATGTTCAACGTTGCTTATGACGTTCTGTCAACTACATGTATGTACCAATACCTCGCGTGAGTGTAGGCACCACAGTAGTGGTTTTCTAATTTAGGGAAGGGATGAAAGGCATGGGCCCTGCCCGCTTTCTTAAACCCGCTCGCCGCTCCGGCCACAACCGAAATCATAAACTCGGGTAACTTTCCCTAAATTCACTGTTCTTAGTTGTCTATTCCAGCTGTAAATAGATCTAGAGTATGAACTCTTGGAGCTTTCAGACTTGCATGAAAGTGAAGGGCCGAGGGGAGAGCGGCAGCAGTTGCCCGAAAAATTCTCTTGGGAATCTTCTCACTTACCGGTATATCCTGACTGCGGGGTTTACATGTAAAGTGCCTATGTATTCACAAAACCGTCACATTCATGATTTCAAGGTTACCCTGTCAGAGATTCTCGTTGGTGGAGGATGGTGGACCCATTGAAAATCTCACACACCTTCACCTTCTAGGGCAAGGCGCCACTCCTCCCTTCACCCTGCACCTTCTCGTCACCCCACCCACTTATCGCCACTCCCTCCCCTAGATCTGTTTTTTGTTCCCTTCCTCCCCTCCTCCTCCTTTCTTCCCAGTCCACTTATCACTCACGCTTGTGAATCGAAACGAATCCGTTCGTTTATACTACCCCCCCTCCACCCCCTGACGACTGACGACCTACAAGAGTCTGTCAAACTTGAGAGAAGATTCTTCACTCTCATCAAACATTTACAACATGTCTCGATACGCCCAGAACCCGAGTCAGCAGCAACGCCCCGCTAACAGTGATTCCGGCTACGGTGGATCTGTTGTTGAGGATGGCGACCGCGATTTCTCGGTTTCAGTGCTTCCTGGACAATCATGTAAGTTGCCTGTGTGGTGATGTGACTGGCTTTTTCTCCCTTTTCCTTTGCCTCTCCAGTGGCATCGGTGCGATCGCATACAAGGTGCGGCGATACTGACGTGAATGATAGCGGATCCCGAAAGGAGACAATGGGCAAGTCATGTCCACCAACTATACTTGTACGAACCCCATCGCTAAACCTTTTAATCTATTACCTCGAGCCTTTTCTGACATTTCATTACAGCAACCAGAATCGTGTTGCTCTTGGACGATGGATCAGCCGAACTGTCGAGACACTGAAGGTAAGTTCGAGGTTGAAACAGGCTAAATAATGGTGGTCACATGTGACATGCTAATGTTTGATATGCAGAACTTCCAAACTGCGAATAGCAAATGGCCCGCCACTTACCCGGCAGTGCAGCGTGCAGAGGCACTGTCTGAAGAGGCCGAAACCTCTGAGCAACCCCGTCTTGTTACACCACAAATTGCGCAGGAATTTAACGTCCTCAAGCTTGATCTGAAACTTGGTGCTCTCTCGCCCTCCGAACTTGTACACTCTCTCGAGAAGTCATCTATCGCCTCGTTACTGGATGGGAAGATTGGACAGTCCGTAAAGCACTTGATGCTCCTCCGGGATCGTATTGAGGATACCTCTTCAAAGGTCTTGGTTACTGGTGATCTCAACGCTGGAAAATCGACTTTCTGTAACGCCCTGCTCCGTAAGAAGGTACTCCCTGAAGATCAACAACCATGCACCAGTATCTTCTGTGAAGTACTCGATGCCCGCGAAAACTCATCGGTTGAGGAGGTTCATGCTATTCCCATCAACGGTGCTCTCTACGACCGACATGATAGCAGCACATACCACGTCTATTCTCTCGACCAGTTGGAGGAGATTGTTGTAGAGAACGATGTGTACTGCCAGGTTAAGATTTATGTTGAAGATGTCCGGGCAATCGACGAGTCTCTCCTGCGTAATGGGGTCGTTGATATCGCCATTATTGATGCACCGGGTCTTAACCTTGATTCTATTAAGACTACAGCTGTTTTTGCACGGCAAGAGGAAATCGATGTTGTCGTCTTTGTTGTCAGCGCCGAAAACCATTTTACTCTGTCAGCAAAGGAATTCATCCAGGCTGCTGCTAACGAAAAGGCATACATCTTTATCGTTGTTAACCGATTCGACAACATCAGGGACAAGGCCAGATGTCAGAGACTTATCCTCGAACAAGTTGCCCAGCTATCACCCAGAACTCACCAAGATGCCAAGGAGCTCGTGCACTTTGTATCGTCAAATGCTGTTATCGAAGGAAAGGATGGTGCTAAGTTGAAGGAGTTTGACGAGCTAGAGCAGAGCTTGAGGCGGTTTGTGCTAGAGAAGAGGGCGAGGAGTAAGTTGGCACCGGCCAAGCATTACTTGTTGAACGTTCTTGGCGATTTGGAGACTTTAGCGGAAGTAAACATCAACGTTACCTCAGCGGAACTTGAGAAAGTTCGGGACGAGTTGTCGACAATCACACCTGAATTCCAGAAATCCGTCCAAGCACGTACTGCTGTTTCGGATAACGTTGAAGTCACCATTGATGAGACATGTGACAACGTCTATGGATTCTCACGCAAGAACATCTCCGCCACAATTGCCCACATCGACGACAAGGCTATTGTTGAATACGATGGAGTTCTTTCGGCGTTTGCTTACGCAGAGAAGACAAAGGAGGCTATGCTACAAAAGATTCAAAAGTCAGTTACGGTTTGCGAAGAATACGCCAGAAATCAGACCGTGGGAGGTATCAACTCAATCAAGGCCCTCGGAATCATGCACCTTGGGGATGAATATGTTGAGAAGGCTTTCCGCAAGGAGTTGATGTTTTCCCGCAAGAAGCACCAATTGAGCAAGACCATTCAAACCGAGATCAACATTTTTGATTTCTTCGACTTTGACAAGCAGGAGAAGGTTGCCGGTATGAGCATGGGTCTCACTGTTGCCACTATGGCTGGAGGACAGCTCTTCGGCGTGAGCAGCTGGATCGATGGATTGTGGAAGGCCACTAGCATGCTCGGTCCTCGCACTACCCGTAAGCTGATTGTTCCTGCTCTCCTCGTCGCTGGCGCCGCCGGTGCCTGGTTCTTGATCGCCGATATTCCGAACGCTGTCCCCCGAAAGCTCGCTAAGAAGATTCGCAAGGAGCTGGAAGCCATGGATTACATCCACGCCAACTCTGAGAGAATTATGAAGGAATGCAGAAAGGTTCTTGGATTTCCCGCCGAGGAACTCAGGGGAGCTTTCCAGAGAAGTATCGAGAAGCAGGGCAGGACAGTGGAAGAGAAGAAGAAGCTTGAGAAGGAGAGTGAGGTGGCTGTCAAATACTTTGGCAATCTTCTGAGGGAGGCCCGCGAGCACAAGGGAGGTGTGATGAAACTTGACCTGGAGGGACCACCATCAGGCACTACTGCTTAATGGGAGGGCTACGCAAAGTTTGACTTGTATTTGATGGAGTGATGGCATTGAAAGAGAAATACGAGAATTAACGTAAAAATTCTTCTGTGGGTTCTCTCCCTTTAGGGAGTCGTTTTGATAGGGTTGTTCTGGCTTGGTCTGCTTGGTCCTCGGTCGTTCGGTGTCGTATGCTTGTTTTTATCTTTTTCTTTTTCGCTTTTGCTTTTTGTTTCTATCAATTGCATGGACTTTTTCTTTATCTCTACTCCTTAGTTGTCGTTTACTGCTCGTGTTTTTCAAATCCTCCCCTCCATTGCTGTAGGTTGATGGGATAAGCTATTGGGAAAATTCCTTGCCTTTTATTCTTTTCCTTAGCCGAGTAGCTGGCGGTAGGAGAAGCTGAGGGGGAGAGAAGTCATACATCCCGGGAACCAAGCATAAGACCAGACATGACTGGGGAGATCGATATCGTTTTTCTTTTCCTTCCTCCCCCCCCCCCCCCCCAAATTTCCATCTTTCTCTTTATATGACTAATTTGATCAGGCCCTTTTTAAATTGCATGGCAACGTCATTTTTCTTCTTTTCATTACATAATAGGGTTTTTATCTTGGGACAGCATTACATGTACAGACGGATATGGTGGATTGGATTGGATGGCGGGAAGAACGGATGCATTGCCGTCATGGCAGCTGGTTAGATCTTTGGGAAAGGTTTGGTGTGCGTTCGTATGCGTGTGTGTGTGGAAAGGGGAGGGGGGTATCTAAATTTATATGATTTTATTGTTACCTTTGCATGTCTGAAACCTTCTTGGAGAATAAAAGTTTAAAAGGGAATTTATGTTTTTTGAATCTACGGGCTAGTCCATCCTGTAGGCGGGTGATGTGTGCGTACCGCCGAGTAGTTAAGTGATACAGTGAAACATCGATTGTAAGAGTGAGACTTGTGGCGGTGGTGTGGTGGCTTCATGGACCATCACTCGCTTGTCCTCATAGGCTGGTTCGGTGATTCGTTAGCAGCCCTTGTCCATTTAAATCGGGAGTTGTGGGTATGGTGTAAGTGGTGGTGTGTCCACGGCCTCAACGTTGAGGTGGAAGCTGACTGGAGGGGCCTTTTTCTTGGCACCCGAGTGACGGTCTATGACTATACGAAGCTTGATTGATTGGTCTAACCAATAAATGTAAGTGCATATATGCAGCCTTACAGCTATGGCACTTCGCTCTCACCTCATCTCAGCTCGCCTCGCCTCATCCACCCTCTCACGTATTAAGAAATAAAGTAAATAATTTCTCCGGCCTCGTCTTCCATTGCTCGGAAATATATAACTCCCGCAAGCCGGTCTGGATTTCATACCTATAAACAGTTTCCATTCCATCTCGATGACCCCCATTTTATTCTTCACGCCTCCCAGTTATCCCTACGACTCCCCAGAGCTTACATGGCCTACCTACATGTACACACATGTAGCACAGCGGCGGCCAAGCCTCAACCCCAACAACCCAACCCAAAATCCAGGGTAAACTCTAGGGTTTTCGCCGCCCATCTATCCTTAGTAGAATCGCTATATAACTAGACCATTCCATCACCTCTTGCCTTCCTCCCTTCCTTTCTTTCTTTCTCCATCAAAATCAGTGGCCCCCCACAAACCCTCCTCTGAGCCTTAGGCCAGGTGTGAGCTGGGATGGGGCGGGTCACTGCTTTCTTTTGTCCTTGGGTACTCCCCCTCCTGCTGTTCTCCCGCTGGCTGGGATGGTTGGGAGGAGGTAGGGGGTACTTGGGGCCGTTGGCTGTGGTGGGGGTGTTTTGGGCGGTTGTGCCCGTGGTGGGGTGGGGGAGGTCGGGAGGACCTCGTGGTGTTCTCTTGGGGCGGTCGCCTGGAGGCCGAGGGGAGCTTCTCTGGCTGGCGGTGGTGCTCTCCCGGGCGTCGGGGGGTCCGGAGGGACCCGGGAGAGCTCCTACTTGGGTTGGGAGGGGGAAACCAAGAGGGAGAAGCCCCCCCCCCCCCCACAACAGCCAATCTCTTCCCTCCCCTGTTGGGTCCCTCGGCAGCGCCTAGGGTCCTCAAGGGGGGAGAGGGCGGGGGAACTTCGACCCCCCTCCCCTCCTCAGGGAGCGCGACCCCGCCGGCGAGAGCTGCGGGTGTCTGGCTGCGTGAGCGCCGGCGAGGGCCGCATTGATTTGTGGCCTGGGCTGGCTAGCTCACGGGCGAGGCGCCTTTGGCAATTGCTGGTGGGGGTGTGCTTGTTGAGGAGGTGAGCTGGTCCGGGGGTGGGCTGTTTTGCTTGACCTCTGCAGGGGAGGGGAGCGGAGGTGGAGGTAGAGGGAGGTGGAGGTAGAGGGAGGAGGGATAGCCAGAGCCTTGGTTCCTGTTGGGCCCTGGGCGGTGCCGATGGCCTAAAAGGGATCAGGGTTTTTGGTTTGGTCTTTGGCTGCGTGCACTCGCTGGGTGCTCGTCGGGTGAGGCCGTCCTGGCCGCAACGCAGAAATAGGGGAAGAGGACGGCTTTCCCCGCGAGGAGGGGCCTTTCTTCTCCCTATTTTTGAGAGGAAGATAGCCAATTTTTTGGTTCCTGTCAGGCTCTGGGCGATGCCGAGGGCCTGAAAGAGATTAAAAACTCTGGTTGTGATATGAGCTCTGTCTGGGGGATCTGATGGTCCAGTTCTGGGAGGCGGTGTAGTTTTGCCCCTGAACTAATGGCCTTGAGGTCTGATCAGAGCAAGAGCTCATAGTAAGGCGTATATAGGCTGCTCGAGGTCAGTAAGAGTTGGTTTTGCCTTGAGGTGCAGTGAGGCCCTTAGGAGTCGTAAAACCTTAAAGGTGAGTGAGGCCAGGTACCAAGGAGTAGACAAGCCCTCAAGGGCCTTCGTAAACGTAAACTCTGAACCGGTGATGAATAAACTCTCCAACCCCACAGCGTTTCCATGTCTAGCCCTGCCTAACCCCGTGACGTCCCAAAGTAAATGCAAGCAGGCGCACAGCCAGCAAGTATATCTGCAGACAGCGTAAAAAGGAATGCATTCCGTGTAAGCACTTTGTATTAGTACGCATATAGATGTGATCATGACGCATCACTCGGCTCATGTGAACACACGTACGGGTGCTTATCCATGATGCGGCACCAAGATCCGGTTGGGACCAACAGAGGTGGCTGCAGGCTGCATCACAGAGTAGCACCCGGTTCGAGCACTGGGTCACGGGTAGTCACTCGGCCGTATTTACTACGGGATTTTGGTCTGTGTTTTGATTGCTGCTACAGGAACTACAATCCCCCCCCCTCCTCTCCTTCGCCCCCATCCCCCCCGCCAAAAAAAACAGGAAAAGCAGGAAAAAAAACAGGAAAGAAAACAGAAAACAGAAACAGAAACGCCTTTATTGTGAGACACGACAAAAGAGAGCAGACAAAAGAGACAAGACAAAAGAGAAGTAGTGGCTATCTGAACAGGGTCATATAACACCTTGCCCATAGCCCACGGTAGTGTGTTTTTCGCTTTCTTCTAGAGGTTATTAGGATTTGAATTTGGGACACTGGGGGCGAGGATATATATCCCCCACCAAAAGACTCCCACAGCACAAGCAGAACCAGAACACACGCTACTGCGTCCCCACCGCCCGCCTCTTATCCGTAACCTTCCTAATCGCTACCACACCCCCACCGTCAGCACACACCCACAAAACCCGCCTCCTCCCACAACCCACCCCCCAAAACCACGGAGCGGAAAACCTACCAGCAACCCACTCCTCCCCCCTCGCGCCACTCTCCAACGTCGCGCCCCCCACCGCCACCGCCGGCATCGTCGTCGCGCCCGTCACCGCCCCCGCCCCTGCCGCCAGCACCACGTTCTCCTCGCCCGCCACCCCAAAGCCCGCCACGCGCCGCATCTCGGCCGCCTGTGCCCCCTTCATCCACTCCACGAAGGCGTCCACAGCGCGCGTGTCCTCGTCGTCGCGGTCCGAGAAGATGTTGAGTGGTCGTAGTAAGCCGACGTGTTCTAGTGCGAGACGGACGTCGGGGAGTTCGGCGTGGGTGCGCCCGGAGGACTCGGCGATGTCGCGGGTGGTGCTGCCGAGGAGCGTGAGGTAGCGGGAGAGGATGTCTGGGGGTGTTAGTGGGGTGGGGGGCGTGGGGGGATTGGGGGGTGGGGGGTGTGGAGGGGGAGGGGAACAGAGTGGGGAAGGGAGGGGAGGGCACACCAGTGACAGCGTCCAGCACCGAGGGCTTCGCGGTTGTGAGGCCGGCAGCGCGGAGCGCTTGTGCGGCCGAGACGCGGAGGAGGGCGAAGAAGAGTTCCTGGTCGCTCATTCCGGGGGTGCTTCTTGGTCTTGGTCTTGGTCTGTGTGTGTTTAGTTATCGTGTGTAGAGAGAGGTCTGGTAAGAATAGAGAGAAAAGAGAGAGATTGGTTTGCAGCTCACACCGGGAGGGGCCCTTTCATGGTTTCCCGGGAGTGGTGGTCGGGAGTGTTGTTTGTCGGTGTGAATCGCGTCTGTCGGGGTTAATTGATTGGGTGCGGTGTGCAGCGGTGTTTGAGGGTTGAGGTTTTGGTTGTCTGTAGTTGCCGTTGCAGCGACAGGGGATGTGTGTGTGTGTGTGTGTGTGTGTGTCTGTGTGGTTGCTGTGGTGGCTGATTGTGGGCTTGGTTGGCTGCCGATTATTAACCACGAGCAGGGTCAACGATTGTTTTGTGGCTTTTGGGGACGGTCGGTACTCCTGCTGCTAATACTTGTAATCACAATAACTGACTCGATTGGATTCTTGATGCTTGTTATTCCTGTTTTTTATTATTTCTTTTCCCTATTACCCAAAGAAATAGTTCATAGAAAGCACACAATCATAAATAACTAAAAACAGAACAGGCTTAAGAAAACAACCCAAAAGAACGATTACCAAAAGAACTAAAACACCCTCCACAATACTTTTTCCCCCACCGGTCCCACACAAAAAGACCAGAACAACAAAAAAAGATGTCAAAAAAGAAGTCCAGAAAAGTAAAAACAAACAGCCAGATAGGCGAGAGAGAGAGAGAGAGAGAAAAGAATCCTCCGAATTGCAAGGGCCAATCAGTACCCAGCAGCGCCCTGCTTCTTTGAGAACAGCGACGCAAGCGAGTCCTGGACCTCAAACTCTTCAATGACGGCGCCAAAGCCGTGGCACTTGACCTTCAGCAGCAGGCCCTCCGCCAGCGAGTTGAAGTCGTTCATGTCCAGGTAGGCAAACTGCGGGTGCTGCGAGACGAGAACCCAAACACTGTATTCGTCTGATAATTAGAAAAACCCAACCCATATTTACTACCATGATGCCCTCGAAACGTGGTGGGATAGTAGAAAGGAAGGGTGAATACTCACGCAATCGGCGTCAACTCCCCCTCCAGCTCAAACCTATCCTGCATATTAAAGAGATCCCACAACTCGTTCGCCGCCAGATCCCACGTCTGCGCGCCCCACGGCACCTCCGCATGTGTCTGTTGTTGTTGCTGCTCTTGCTGTTGTTGATGCTGCTTGAGGTACAGCGGCTCGGGCGGGCACGACACCATCAGCCGGTGCCCGTGGAAGTCCGCCTCGGGGTTCTTGTCAATATTCCCAAACATCAGCTGGATATGGTCCATGCACGGCTTCTCCAACCTATAGAATCGAATCACGACCCGCACATCTTAGCCTCACTCCCACTTCACTTCTAGCTCACCATCCCACCGCCCAATATATACAACTCCCACCCCTACCCTCCCATCCGCACCCCCCGTCATTCCACCTCTTCCTCATCCCCACACCCCCACACCCCCAACCCCCCCCCGACACACACCCCCTGGCGGTAGGACTTACGCCAATACAAAATCAATGCCAATCTCATTATACGTCCTCCCGAACCTGGCCACCTCCGGCGGCGGGACGCCCTGGCCTACAGCGGGCCCCATGGTGTACCCCGTCTGCGGCGTGTACGCGATGCCATGGGCTTCCAGGATCGCGCGCAGGCGCGCCGTCTCCTCGTGAAGACGCTGGTTCTCGGCCACTACGGCGGCCTTCTCTTTCTGGATGCGGGTGAACTCGGCGGCGAGGCTAATGCGGCGTAAGGATTCGCGGTAGAGCAGTTGGGCGGGGGAGAGCGGGGTGGGAGAAGAAGAGGAGGAGGAGGAGGGAGGAGAGGGATAGGGTGAGGAAGAGGAGGGGCGGGGATGAGGGCGGGGATGGGGATGGGGATGGGGATGGGGGCTGAGGGTGGTGGTGTGCATACCGTGTGGTTTCAGCCTCGAGGTTCTTGGTGTAGGACTCCTTCCTTTCGCGATGCGTCCTGTGTTCGTGGGGCGGAGGGGGTGGTTGTTAGCCGGCATTGCTTATGGTTTTGTGGTATGGTATGGCTTTCGGGGAGGTAGGGGAGGAAGGAGCTGCTGAGGAGGCTTATGGGGGAGGGGGGAGGTGGGCTGTGAAGGAGGGGAGGTGGTATATAAAGCAGGGAAGAGTATAGGCTAGGGGCGCGTACCTTTGCGCCTGTCTGTTCAGTTCCTGGCGCCGAGTGAGCGCCGGCTTGGAGTCGGGCTTAGGGCCCCGACGCTTCGGTTTCTCGCCGTCTGCCAGCAGCGTGTTGTGTCAGCGTGCAAATCCAAATAGCCCATCATTTTTTTCTCTGTCTGCCTCAGTCTCGCTGTCTCTGTCTGTCTCCCTCAGGGTATCTGGTCTGGGTATTTGATATCATCTAGCCTAATAGTAGGCCAATTTCGATAATACCTAGGCCTATGAATGTCCGCTCCCGCGCCGCCCCCGTCACAACCCGTCACCCTGCCGCAGAGTGAGGCGTGGTGACGGAAGAATGGATTACTTCCAAATACTTGCATGCCCACAAGGTTCAATCACCCCCCAACCCAAACCCCGACCCCAATTAACCCCAACCCACATACCCCACGGGCCGGTAGGTGGACCAGGTAGGCATGCAAGACATTGCAAATCACCCAAAAAACTCAAATCATGAAGGAGGTGATGGGGGGGGTCGGCAAAACCTGCCCTCCATAAAATATGAAATAAGGTACGCAGATTGCAGATAGGTAAGACAGCAGACAGGCCGGGGATGGGATGGGAGCCAAAAAGGAAAAAAAAAACATAACCAGTTGTAGATACCTTTCCTGCGAGACCCGAGCCCGAGCTTGAGAAAGTCGAGGCTGAACCTGCCTGAGTTTGAGCCTTCGGAGCTCGGCTCTGGTTACCGTTAGTTGGCTTTTTCTTTTTATTGTTTTTTTGTTGGGGGTGGGGTTTCTTTTCGATTTCGCTTTCTTTGTATGGATGGGGGATACCGGTGATCATGATGTGTAGGGCTGATCACGGATAGGACGGTAGATGGGTATGACATATGTAGGGTAGGGTAGGGGTAAGGGTAGGTATTTGGAATTCATTGATAGACATGTAACTGCCATCATTGGCTAGCTGGGGGGGGGGGGGGGTATAATTGTAAGGCTGTATAGTATTGTTTGGGCAGCAGTAGTAGTAAGGTAAGGGTTCTTCTTTCTTTCTTTTCTTTTGTTAAGGAAAAACTACTCGACTCACGCTCTGCGGGACTCGTCTGATCCGATGGCGGCGGTGACATGCCCAGGTCGTGCATATGATTTACGACATGCGGAGCAAGCTCGTTGTTGTTGTTGTCCGACATTTTGGGGGATGGGGGTCGAGCGGGTTTTGGGAGGGGAGGGGGGTTATTTGGAATCTTTTGCTTTTCTAATTTATTTTTTTGCTAAATTTTCTCTTGTTAGGCTAGATTTGGAATTTTTGATAGGGTGCTTTTGCTTTAATGCTCTCTCGGCCAGGGGTGTGTGGTGTGGTGGTTAGTGATTGTGGTTTGTGGGTTAGCCGTGGGTTGCCGGTAGAAAGGTTGAGAGATTGAAGTATTTGGAATTGTTGCGCTTTTTCGGTTGGTGAGGGCGAAACTGGCGCGTGCGCGGTAGATTTGGAAGGAGGAATTGGAATCAAGGGGAGATAAGTAGTCGGCCTTTCTCCCGTGTGCCTTTTCCCTTTATTGCTATTTGAAGCTGAGCTGTGAGCTGTGAGCTGTAAGCTGTTGGCCGAGCTGAGCTGAGCTGGGACAGTAGAGTATATCGCGATAGTAGTGGCAGTAGTAGTAGTAGTAGTGTAGTAGTAGTACTGCTAGACTGAACAGCTTATTTTTGAGTATTGATATTTTTCCTCACAACCAAGAACAGTTAATGAAAAGGAGAAAAGTTTACCCACACAATTTCAAAGCACGTACGTGATGCCGTAGATAAATTTTTCTTTTTGTTTTTTTATGGTCGCTGCAAACAGAACTCTCTCTCTCTCTATGGTAGTATTAGATAGAGAAAGGGATCGATGGTCAGGCAACAGAGGGAGAGGGCCGGGGTGGGTCGCGGGGGAACAGGCGATGCGATCTTCCCTTCGTTCTTAGCAGGCTCGGCGCATATGCAGGTTGACAAATACTCGAAACGCTGTTTTGGGGGGGCGGGTGTGTCGGTTTGTGTGGGTGGGTGTTACGGTTGTATTATGTTTATCCTGGATCCCTTTATATACCGCCTGACCCAAAGGTTCGTATTCCTCCCCGTGATCTGGGATGGTTGAATGTAGAAGGCCGGGGAAGCTCGAGGGGTGCCGGAGATTATTTCGATAGAGTTCAGTAGCGAAAGCAACGTTCGGATCGATCTGATCTGATCTGGCTGGGAAGGGATGGGGGAAGGGGAGCGTGTTGGGGCACGGTTAGAGCGTAAAGTAAGTACTTAGCGTCCTCTTAAACCGTCCTGTCTCTCTGGATTTCTTCTGCTTCTTCGACTCCGGGGAACCTAGATACTCCGACCGTCCTTCATATATACCAGAGAACCTCTGCAGAATTTCGAATTTCAGGAGGGCGCAGCAAGCAGGATTATATTAAGACTGCGTTTTTGCCACCCATGCAACTTGAAGCTTCTTTTGACGTCGGGAAGGAAAGCCACACGTGGGGATGGAGGGGGATCGAGAGAGGGCGGAGCTCGGGAGCTGCGGGTCTGGATCTATGGCGTCGCACCGCCCTGCTGGTTTTGATGCTCGGGAGGGTGAATTGTAAGTAAAACCCCCCTGTGCATCAGGATGGAGATTTCCGAAGCTGCCTACGTAGAGTAGTGGGGAAATTGGATAGGACGGAGTGGAAATTTGATGACGATGGTGGCTCTACTGCTATTCTACTCTGTTCTCTGCTATGACGGTGGCCAATATGGGGATGAGATCGAGAGACAAGTGTGTTTCTGGGGGTTCTGGAAACATGCAGTAATTGCCTACAGCTTCAATTGTAGACGACGACACGACACGCGCCCAGTAGGATGGCTTTCTCTGCCCTGGACAGTGAGTGTGAAGGCTCCCATCGTGATCTCAAGAGTGCCCTTGGAATCCTGCACATTGTTACATACATATCAATTATTGATCTCCAGCCAGAATGCACGCAATGGAGATCGACCATGCGGCCCGCGATCTGTCCTGATGTCCCAAATATCATCCCAGATCCTTGGTGTTTCCAACTAACTATTTGTACAAGCTCTGACAGCTCCAGCATCAAAGCTCCACCTCCTCCTCCCCCCCCTAATTAAAACAAAGCAGTAGCCAAAATAACTAAAAAGCCCCCCCACAAGATGGCTCCATCCACAAAATCCCCGGTAGCCATTCTTCGAGCCCTCCTCTTCTTCATCCCCTGGCTGCTCCATCTCATCCTCGCAAACATCCTCTTGACCCTCACCCTGCCCTTCTCATGGCCGTTTCCCGCGCAGATATACGCGGTAAACTCGCAGATCGCGTACACCGTCTGGGTGCACATCCAGCTCTACTTTGAGCGCTCCCGGGGCGCAAAGATCACCGTTTCTGGGGATGATCTCCCGCGCTTGGAGAATGCAATCGTGATTGCCAATCACGTCTCGTGGACGGACTTCTACCTGGTCCAAGCTCTGGCCGTCAAGGCGGGCATGCTGGGCAGCAGTAGATACTTTGCCAAAGCCTCGCTGCGGTGGGTCCCGTTCTTGGGGTGGGGTATGATTGCGCTTGGTATGCCCATGGTCTCGAGGAACTGGGTGAATGATCGTAAGGAGTTTGAAGCTCTCTTTGAGGGCATCAAGAGCGCAGCTCTGCCAATCTGTAAGGAACCCCCCCCCCAAAAAAAAAAAAAAAAACCAATTGACCTGCCATATTCTTGATCGATGGACTGACATCCCGTATAGGGTTAATTGCGTACTCTGAAGGCACTCGCTTCACGAAGAAGAAATGGGAGGACACCAAAACCTTCTGCGAGAGCCGCGGGAAGCCTGTCTTCCCGCACGTCCTCTACCCGCGCTCCAAAGGGTTCGTGACGGAGGTGCAGAACCTGCGTGACGGCAGCTCGCACATCAAGCACGTCTACGACCTGACCCTGGCCTACTCAAAGGCCGGTGGTAGTGGGAAGGGATTCATGGATGCTCCTACAATGTGGGAGACATTTGCTATGGCGCGAGTCTCGCCGCCGTGGAGGTTCCATGTGCATGTTCGTAGATTTGAGATCAAGGAGCTACCGGAGGATGAGGAGGGGCTGAGGACATGGCTGGAGGAGAGGTGGGCCGAGAAGAGCCGGATTTTGCAGGGAATGGAGGGGGAGTGGACGGAGTTTGAAGGGTTGGGAGAGGTGGAGAGCTTGGTTTGACGGGATGCAGTCACTTACATAGCCTACAGATTAGATTGAAGCTTTAGTATTCAAGCCCTGGTTATTCAAGACCCTGGTAGATCGGTAGTAGTAGAAATGATTGCTACTGCAACAAATATTATTAGCCAGCCCTCTTTGCAATCACGCCTCCAAGTGATTACTCCAGGTGGGCTCTGTGTTATCCGTTAGCCACCGCTGCCAACATACATGTACTTACTCCCCCGATCGAGTGATTACTCCTGACGGGATCACAACATATGTCAGTTTGGGCTGTCCATTCCATTGCGCAGACTACTGCCAAGCACACGCTCGTCAGCAACGAAACCCCACCGCAACAACCCTGCCTGCCTGTCCCGCAATTGACAAGACATCAACAGAACCAGACTGTACCAGCTAGAGTACAATCAGTCCCGCATACCACAGACGGCCAGCCATGTCTGCCTCCCCCGTCCCCACCCCGCTCTTCCACGCTGAGCTCCTCCCCAACATCCGCTCAATCTCAATCTCAATAACGCTCCCCACACCGTCCACGCCCACCACCTGCCTCACCCTCACAAGCCCCACCAAGCTCCTCCTCGTGCACAATGGCACATCAACACCCCTCCCGCTCCCTGCTGCCGTCGCCGTACGCGTCGCCACATCAACCCTCCGAACCACCGCCATAGGCGAAAAAACACTCTCGTACCGCCTCCCCGTCGCAGCTCCCGCCTCACCTCCAAACAACGAGCCCGCGGAGAACTATGTCCCGTGGACCGCGGCCGCCCTGGCACAGTCTGGGAAGAGCGTCTCGCTCATGTGCAAGGCGTGTGCATGCGTGCTCGTTGATGGTGCGGCCGTGAAGACGTGGAAGGATCTGCCGTCGGGCAATTGGGCCGAGATGATGGAGTTCTGGCATTGCCATAAGCCCGGGCCCGACAAGAAGAAGCAGCAGATTAATGGGGCTCATACTAATGCTCATACTGCTCCTATCGCCGCCGCCGCCGCCGCCGCCGCCGCGACGAATGGCGAGGGGGCGAGGTATGGCGTGCTTCAGGGTGGGTTTGGAGCTGAGGCGGGCACGGTGCTGGTGGATTTGACGTATTTTTTGGTTGCGCAGGCGGATTGTGTGGGTGTGCAGGTTGTTGAGGTAATTTCCATTCTGTTTTTCTTTTTTTTTTCTTTTTTTATTATTCCTTTTCTTTTTTTCTTTGTGGAAAATGAACGGGGCAAAAAGAAGGTCAGTAGCCCACTTCAGTGGTTATCTGCATCGATACAATTGCCCCAGATTAATTGTCTCTCTCCTCCCCACTCGGGGGGCCCTGTGAGGATGCTGTCATGACGGGCCGGCTCTGTGTTACCGGGGAAAGCAATTCCCCCGGCCTACGCGGGCGGACGTCCCATGCATAGCGCCCGCGGGACCCTTACGCGGGGGAGCGGCGAGAGAGCGGCGGTCCCTTTCCCCTGGGGAAGTGGCCGCTGTAGAATCCTCTTAGTTTCACCTTTCTGCCACAAGCCTGCAGGCAGCGGGGGAATGTTAGTGAGGAACATTACGCTTTTTCTTTCCCGGTCTTCTTTCTTTGCAGCTCGGGCGAACTATCTCCCTAGCTAGCTATAAAAAAAAAAGGTCCTCTACGATAATAACTAAGCTAACTAACTAAATGATTGGATAGTCAACCCAATACCCGCACGGCCTCTACTGCACAAACTGCAAAGCCCACCTCGGCGCCACCGACCCCCAGACACGCAGCTACAGCCTCAACAAGTGGAAGCTCAAGCTGCACCTCTCTGCGCACGGCATCAGCGAGGAGTACTCGTACCCGCTCGAGCCATTCCTTGCCGCCAAGCTGCTCGCGCTCGCCGAGGGCGAGGGAGTGCGGCGTATGCTTGTCTCCTCCTCTGCGCAGGAGGAGAAGAGCAAGTTGCGCCTGTGGCTGTTTAGCACGGACGTGAGGTACACGAGCAGCGCGGTGGAGAGGCCGATGAGGGCTGTGAAGGTGTTTTATCAGGAAGATGACGGTGCGGAGGGGGGTGGGCAGCAGCAGCAGGGGACGGCGATGGGGAGTGGCGGGTTTGAGGAGGTGAGGTTGCAGGGGGAGATGGTGGCGGGGTTGAGGGAGAGGTTTGAGGAGGGGGTGGCGTTGGAGGTCGCGGTGGGGGGCTTGGGCGGGTGGAAGGTGGGGTATCTCATGAGGTTTGAGAGGGAGAATACGGTGATGAGGGGGTAATTTGGTTTGGGGGGGGAGGGGGGGGGGTTCTTTTTCTGGTTTTTTGTTTCTCTTTTTTTTTTCCCGGTTTGTTTGATGCTGGTTCTGGTTTCAATTTGGTGCTGGTTCGGTGGCTGGTTCTTCTTTCTGGTCTTTTTACTCTTTTCGGTTCGGTTTTTTTCAAAAGGGTGTTTAGATGGGTAGTTAGACAAAAGGATTAAATAAAATAAAAAAAGTGATCTCAGGTAACTATCTGGTTTTGGCTTTGGGTTTTGGGTTGTTGTGGTGTGCACGCGTAGCAGTGGTCATCAGTAGTAACAATGACCGAGTGTCAATGATCAAAAGACATCAACCACTGGTTACTTTATTTGAAAACCACATTTTACTACTACTCACTACACTAAGAAAATGGGAATGATTACCACAACCACAATATCTATTCCATCCCGCGCCCATCCCGCGCACCCAAAATCTATCTAAACTAAACTATATGGTATCACAACTGCAGCAACTGTATATATCCCCCCTTCAATTCCCCCCATCAATCCTTCTTCTTCCCGCCCCCCGCCGCCGCGGCCGCCGCCTTCTCCCTCTTCACCCTCTGCCCCTCCAACGCATACAAGCCCCCGCCCAAAAACACGACCCCCGCCCCCACGCCAACACCCCACCCCAACACATTCCCAAACACCCACACACTGACCACCAGGCTCACCAGCTTGCGCACATTCAGCACCACCGTGACCGTCAGCGCGCTCGAGCGTGCAGCCAACAAATTCACGCCTCTCGAACAAACATAGTGCGTTGCCGCATTGGCGAGTAGATACCAGCGCAGGCCCTCGAGGCGCTCCCATTGCGACCGGATGGAGGGGAGCAGCGGCAGGAAGAGCGGGAGGGAGAGGAAGTGGCTGTAGAAGAGGCCTTCGCGCGGGTGGTGCCCGAAGGTGTGGTAGGTGCGCTCGATGTAGAGGCCCATGAATGCGGAGAGCACCTGCGCGAGGAGGAGGATGAGGAGGCCGGTGATGTAGGTGGGTGTGGAGGTGGCGGTGGCGGTGGGGGAGGTGCTGCGGGAGGGAGGGGGGTTGTCGCTGTAGGCGCAGAGGGCGATGCCGAGCGTGAGGATTAGGACAGAGAGGAGTTGCAGGCGGGTGTAGCTAGAATCCCACGGCCGCATCCTATCAGTCAGGGTGCCCGAGAGGGGAGAAGAGGGACAAACCGCTTGCCAAACACCCACCCCACCACCAGCGTGGTCATGCTCCCGCCGCTGCGCAGGATGATGTGCACGGGCACCGAGATGCGGAAGCCGAACGCATAGTTGTTGAGCACCGACACGCTGAAGTACAGCAGGATCTGCACGGCCCAGCGGTACAGCGGCACGGCGTTCTTCTTGAGCAGCGTGGGCGAGCGCCGGTCGAAGTGGTGGTGCAGCCCCTCGAGCGCCACGAAGAGGAACTGCGCGAAGGTGAGGAGGTGCCCGCTTTGCGGTTCGGTTCTGGGGGATGGGAGTTAGAAGGGGAGGCGGGGGGGGGGAGGGGGGAGGGGGGAGAGGCGCACTTGATGATGGCTTCGAGGGCGAATACCTGTTGCGCCGGGGTGGCAGTGGGTTTAGCTTCTTCTTCTTCTACTTCTGCATTTTCTTCATCCTCATTTTATTCTTCCCCTCCTTCTTTACCAGCTCCCCAGCGCCGAAACACCCCCCGCGCACAGAGGGGCCAATGATCGGAACTCACGTTTGAGCAGCACCCCCCAAAGATCAGACCGACCATGACCGCCGTCTGCACCCACGCCGGCACCGTCGCCTGCGCAAGCGCCGACAGCGTCGACACCCCACCACCACCACCACTGCTTGCGCCGTCGAGGTGAGGGCGGGCGTCGATCTTGTTGATGTCTGCGCCCGCGGCGGGCTCGGAAGAGGTCGCGCGGCCTTTTGCCATTACTAGTGGGGTGGTTAGCAATGGCGGGATATATGGGGATGGCGGGTGCGGGTGCGGGTGCGGGTGCTTTACTTACCGGGTATGGGTTGTATTATATTTCAGAGGAAATGATCAAAATAACTGGTATCGAGAGAAAAGATGGAGATGTAGAAATTCGGCAGCTACGTAGCTACATGGAGGCATGGAGCAGTATGTAGTGAGAGGACACCTCAGCCGCTTTCTCTGGTCGCACCTGGCTGGCTGGCTGGCTGTTTTGTGTGCGGTGCGGTGCAGGGATCCCGCTGCTGCTGCTGCTGCTCAGGAACGGGAACGGGACGTCTCGCTTATCGGCACTCGAGAGCGGTAGAGTACCAAAGATAGTAGAAAACCAGCACATGCACCAGGCCCACTGCACTGTCTCTAAACCAGTTTATTGTGCTTCTACTCTCTACTATAATTTAGCCAGCTGCGGGCCTGAGTGGTGGACCGAGTTCTGGGTTGGGTTGCGTTAGGCTGAACCCACTGTAGGTACGCCCAGGTGGGGCAGTTTATTTAAATGCCTGGTACTGCTCTGCTCTACCTGAGACCCTGCACTCAGCTGCACCATACTCCCTCCAGCAATGCCCGCCGCAATAGCAGACCTAGCAAACGCCCCCAACGACAGCTCCACCACCGAGCTTGTCGCAGTGACGGGCGTGTTTGAGCTGTCCCAGGTGAAATACACGCAGTTGTACGTTTGTATTTCTTTTTTTTTACTCGGTACTTTTAATCTGGGTGGGGTATAAGTCTGACCGGGGTGTGCTTGTAGCTACTGCGAGGAGAACATATACTGCATGATCCGGGACCATGTGGCGCCCGAGCTTTGGGAAGACTTCTATGTGGTCTTTATCTCGAATATTGAGAAGTGTTAGTTTTGCTTGCCTTGTGGAATATATGGGTGCTCGTGTGGTAGCTATAGCTCTGCCTAGCTAGTTGGGCTTGCGGGATATCACTTGAGTGACAAACATCTACAACCTGAGAGAGAGAGAGAGAGAGTGCTACAAGTGCTAACCCAGCTAAACCTATTACAGGCGTCGCACTGAGCTTCCAGAAAGTACCTACCTATATCCACCCCACTGCTACTCTTATTTCCTAAGACAAACCAACTAACACCCCCCGCCCCGTAGGTCTGCACCACCCCCGACACCCCCGTCTACTGGGTACCCTCCCCCCTCCCCCTCCCCTTCCTTCCCGCCCTACTAACCCCCCCCCCCCCCCCAAAGGACTACCACGTAATCCTCCTGCACCACCCCCGCACCACCCCACACACCATCACCGTCTACGACCTCGACACAACCCTCCCCTTCGGCCTCTCCCACCACAGCTACCTCTCGCACACCTTCCCCACACACCCCGCCTCTCCGCCCGCCCACTTCAAGCTCGTCCCTGCAAAGGACTACATGCGCCTGTTTGCGAGCACGCGCGCACACATGTGGCGCGAGATCGTGAACGACGAGGGCGACCGCGGGTGGCGGTGGGTGGCGGAGCCGCCGGTGTGGAGCTGTATTGTGTCGGAAGGTGAGTGAATTCTAACCTGGGGATGAGGATGGGAGAGGGGAGAGGGGCATGGGGGATGGTGGATGGGCTGACTGGGTGTGTGGGGGGCAGAGGAGGGCGAGGATACGTTGGAGCGGTTTTTGGACTTTGGGCATGAAGGGGATCGGTTTGGGAGGGTGTATGGGGAGGGGGAGTTTCGGGAGGTGTTGGAGGGGATGGTGGGGGGTGGGAGGGTGGTGGAGGGAGTATTTAGTAGAGTGTAGGGTGTAGAGGGGCTATCTAGATGATCATTGGTGTGATATGAGTGCGGAATCGGATATTGGGATTGGGTTGTTGGTGTGAGTACGTGGTAGGGTATACATGAGAGTGTCAGACTACATATCACTGATGATATTCCAATAATGAAATCTAAACTGACTGGCCCGGACTGGAAAACTGTGCTTCGTGCTAACAGCTTTTTCTTTTGGTATCATGGGGTTAGACTCGTCGAGGAGAGATGGGTCTATATATATGTGCCTGAATAAACCCTATTCTAGCCTTTCTGCTCACGCCGGCGAACCATCAAAGTCGACCACCCTGTAGAAAATAGTTTCTGGAAGAAAGCTTGTTAATTGTTCTAGCCACATTATTTTATGTTGAGTGTGGTCTCTCTGTACATACTCCTACCAAGCATCGAACTGCTAGCTATCTGACCCACCAAAAAAAAAAAAAAAAAAAAAAGCGAATTTGGTGTGGCTTTACTAACAGATCCCGTTATCTCTCTTATCAAATATGTAATAGATCTCTCATACAAATTTAATTCTTCTGTTATAGGGGGGGGGTCAGCATCGACGGCTTAAGGGATACCCGCGACATTTGTAGCACTTATACATAGACCACGTACCCTGGGTCAAACACACATCCATATCCAAGCCTCTTTACCGGAAGCTGTTTGAACAGCGGTAACGCTGGTACACGATGGCGTGGCCTCCGAGCCTAGCTAGGAAGACACACGTGTTCGTCACTATGACATCGTCACTCCATGTACATGCACATGTACATTGTAGTTAATGATGGATATTTCAGCGCACTAAGGGTTTGATGGGGTATATAAAGAGGCCTCCATCCATGTCTCGCAGACTTTGCGTTTACCTTCGCATTCCCGCATTCGCAAACAACACATGCCGCTGATGGAAGATTCTCGTGCGAGTGATATCTGGTGATTCTAGCCGGGATGCACATCCTGGCAGCTACTCACGGTGTTTGTGTTCTACGGACTTTTTATGGGTTTTTTTTTTTTTTTTTTTTTTTTTTTTTTTTGGAGAGGGGCTTTCGGAAGTTCACATTTAGCATTTGGTCAGCATCATGACATGTCATCAGGCTCGAGCTCGACCACGTCACAAAGCCAAACCAGGGCAACATCTCGACCCGTCAGGCGTTCCTTCGAAATCCGTGGGCCTCAAGTATTTATAGAGAAATGCACTCCACAGGGTCTCCCAGGATAGAAGTAAGAAAAAAAAAAAATGGTGGTTGTCCTAGAGCGGTAATCTTACCTACGTTTCAACAGCCTCCGTTTCTAGCACTTACCTCGGAGATTACATATAGCTACGTTATAGACATACAGCCTAACCAAACCTCCGAATTCGACCTAGGAAGATGCAAACTCTACTAACTACTTCCTAGGCGCGGTTCGATATCTAGGCCGGCGGGAGGTAAGAGGAACATTAAATATCCTTTTCGGGCCCTCGCCGACGCCCAGGACCCAACAGGGACGCAAAAATGCTGCCTCTCGCCCCCGCGGTGTATGGGAAACATAGCCCCTCCCCGTACCGTAGGAGGGGCAAACGAAACATCCTGGCGGAGACCTGCTACCTCACCGTGAGGCGGAGCATAAGGACCACCCAGAAGCCGCAAGTCTACAGGTAGGCGGGGGCTGGGGCGGAGGGGCAACTAGCGGCCTCTTCGGGCCCCATTTTGCCAACACCCAGCTTGGCCGCCTCGGGGCCTTTCGACCTCGCGGGCCAGCCACGCCAAAACCGACATTTTCATCCCTTTTAGGCCCTCGGCAGCGCCCAGGAACCCAACGGGGGGGAAACGTCGGCCGCCCCCTCGACGAGGGAGCAGAGACGTTGCCTGGCATGAGGGGGAGGCTCCCCTCCTCCCTCAGCAGGCGGGCCTAACCCCCTAATGGGGAGGCGGCGCTGTGAGGGGGGATGGTCTCCCCTCGGCGAGCCTGGCTCACGCCTCCCCCTCTTTCGAGGGTAGGAGGGAGAGCAGAGGCTTCCAGCCACAGGAAGGGAGACCCCCTGCCTCATGGCCAGAAGTCTCTCTCTCCCTCCTGTCCTCGAAGGAGAGGAGCTGTGAGCCAGGCTCGTCGAGGGGGGGGGGGGGGTTCTCCTCCCCGGCGAACAACCTCCTCCTCTCCACAGAGGACAGGAGGGGGCAAGCCACGAGGGGAGTTTCTCCCCCTCCGCGAGCACGGCCGACCTCCCCCTCTTCTCGAGGGCTGGAGGCGGCGCAACAGCTCAGAGCATGCGGGGGATTCTTCCCCCCGACAAGCCTGGCCCTCCACCCCCTCTTCTCGAGGGCGGGAGGCGGCCGACACAAAGGCTCTAGCCATAGGAGGGTATATCCCCCCCTCGGCGAGCCCGGCCCAACCCTCCCCCTCTCTTCAGAGTGCAGGAGGCGGGGCGCACAAGGGCTCCAAGCCATGAGGGGGGGGATTTCCCCTCCTCGGCGGGCAAGTCTCAATACTCCCCGTCGCTGTCCAGCAGCGACGGGAGAAGAATCGTCCCCATCTTCCTCTTCCTCTCCTACCCAGAGGGGAGGAGAGAGGGGGGGACGCCTCCGGACAGGAAACGTCAGTGGCTTCCCCGCCCAATCTCGCACCCGTCCTGAGGCTCGGGGGACGGTTGGGGAAGTCACTGACTCCTGGTGTTTATGGAAAAAGGAAGGGAGGGAAGAGGCGGTTGAGGAGCTTGTTATATGCTGGATGTGCCAAGGATGGGCGGGCAACGACGACGAAGTTTATGGCTTTGGATGAAGGTTGGTGAGGTGCGGATCATACGCAATTAATGAATTAATGAATTAAAGAAAAAAAGTAAAAAAGGCGTGGATCATGGGGTGTCACTCGCACCAAGACGCCTGCTGCAAATGGTCGGACGGACAGACGACCCACCGCTGGCGTGTGCAATAATATATATCTCCGAATCCCTAGAGCCTAGAAGTGGCAGTATTAATATAGCAGACAAAAAAATGAGTAGACGTACAAAAGCATGCAGGGAGCCTAAGGAAAAAAACTTAAAAAAAAGTAGACGAAGCGAAGGGAAAGACTTTCGGCGGAGAGTTACTACCGGTACATACACGGAAATACACTGGGAAAAACACAGTATTTTAGCCTCGTTTGCTCGAAAGTATATATGCCTGCACCAATTCACCCACCAAGCCCTCGATATCACATAAAAGAATCTGAACGCCGGTTATCAATTATTCTTCCCCGCAATGAGAGTGTTTGCCAAACAACGGACAAGACGCGAAATATGAACAGTATGCAATGCCGGCGAAAAGTGCCTTAAAATATAGCACCTTAGCAGTTGAGTAGCGCAGCTAATACCACTAACTACTAACGTGACCACGTGGCAGTTGTTGCCAACTTCATAGCGGCCGTTATGCCTTTTCAGCGCTGCTAAAATTTAGTTTTGACCGCCTTGCGGACGGACAGCCGGGCGGGCGGGCGGTTATCTTTGCGGGTGGGTGAGCCGCTGCTTGCCTGCCGGTATTTGTTTCACTCCTAAATAATTCTTCCTTAATGGGCCATTTTATGCTCACTGGACTAGAGCAATATTGCCAGACCTTGGCCCGCTCGGCATATATACATGTACCGTCTCCAAAAGATTGGCACAGTCGAGTGATATCCCATGAACCCACATTGTAGGGAGGGGGACGAAGTATTCACTGGAGTGTGCCCTGGATCCACAAGTATACATGGCTACATGTACTCACAACTATCTCTATCTAGGTAAGTAGTGAAAGGAAGAAAGCCGATACTTCAATATTCGTTCCAGGACAGCTGCAATGAGCAAGGTACCAGGCCTTAAAACCTTAGCTATAAACTCAATTCCATGCATGGCCCGGGCCGAACCGCAGACGCGTATGTACCAATGTAAAGAACACTTCTCTTGGGAACAAGGACAGGGGCGGAGGTTAGCTGGGTGTAGATGCCAGGGTTGATTTAAGCTTATGCTTAAGCTTGATTCCATAGCTAATGTGTGCCAAGGATAACAGCTATGTATAGGCAGAGCAGATTCGATTGTATTTACTTTTATCATGAATTATAGTTATCGTACATGTACAAAACGCCGCTCCATACAGACAAAAGAAAGGCATATAACAAACGAACGCTGGATCTACACGCACGCAGTAAGTAGAAAAAAAAAAAGCCGTACTATACAAAACTATCCACACCCCTAAACATTAAGTCCACTACTCTAAACACACCCTTCCCGATTACGGTAACTCATGTGTCTCCTGCCCGGGCACCGCAGCATGCGGTGGTCTCGGCACATGCACAAACGCCTCCGGCACCACCGGGCTCGCGGGCACCTCCTGCGGGTCCACCTCCGGCTCATGATAGTACCCCTGCTTCACCTCCGTCGGCGACCCGGCCGCCAGCTCTCCCAGCGGCGCATAGTACTGCTCATGTCTCTCGGTGCTAGCCGGGAGCTCCGCCTTGGAGTACTCCTGCGGCTGCTCCTGGTTGTGGGGGGCGGCGGCAGCGGCGCCCATCGCGTCGGGACTCAGCCCGGCCGTTGACGGCGTAGGCAGGACATTTTCTCTGTTCTCAACCCACGGCTTCTTCTTGCCCCGCCTCATGAACAGGAAGATGAGACCTGCGATTGCGAGGAGGCCTAGGACTCCACCGACGACGCCGCCGGCGATGGCACCGGTGGGGGTGCTGGAGCTGGAGGAGGAGTCGGCGAGGGCGGTGCCGCTGGGGTCGGGAAGGGCTGTGACGGTCGGGCTTGGTTGTCCCTCCTCGTTGGTTAGGCTGGGGAAGGATTCGAGTCTGTTGCTGCCGTCGGCGGCGACAGCCCCGAAGGGTTTGATTTGGGAGTCGGAGGAGTAGCTGGCGGGGGCGACTTGGAATTCGTTGCTGTCATAGTTGATTGCCTACGGGGAAGATCCAAATTGTGAGTACTCGCTCGAAATATATATATATATACACATAAGTAATAGCATATGAAAAAAAAAACTCACAAGATAGACAGCCTTCAGGAAGGGCCTTCCAAGGATAACCCTTGCGCGGGCGGTGGACTTGTTGATCAGGAACGGGAAGAATTTGTCCTTTGTGACTTTGGGCTCCGCGTAATAACTCCTGTCCCATCCCCAAACTATATTATAACCAATATGTTAGCAGTCGTTCGGATTTCTCGATTTGGGGATTGAATCGGTGCGGGCACGTACTTGATTCTGGAAATGTGATGTTGACCTCCGATGCACCCCCATGCCCAGTTCCCCTCACCTTCACGGTCATGGAGATGTTGCCCAGGTGTACAGGGGTGCTCACAATATCACCCGAGGCGTTCCAGTCATTATCACGTTTAGCACGAATAGCCTCTGCAAAGAACCCGGGTTTAGCAAAGTCCTCGAGCAAAGACAAGAGGGTGGGATCATCGGTACGTACGAGCAGCAACCTCGGGAACGTAAATCCAAGGGCTCGAGACATCGATCTCTGCATCATATGTATCGACTTTCAGGTCTCCCAGAATGTCATATACCGCGTGCTGTGCATGGACGTTTATGCCTGAGACATCGAGCTGGGGAATCCCATCCGAGTCAAGGTCACCTCTTATGTACGTTTGGCTCTGTTTTGCGAAATCGAGGCCTCCAAAAACGATTGATCCAGGATAGTTCGCATCCTGCAATAAACACCATCTCATATCAACTCTCAATATCCACCAACAAAATTCGGTGTTTCCTCCCCTGCCTATGAGAGATTCCATATGCAACGTACCTTCGCATTCGGATCCCAGTTCTGCAAATACCTCACATCACTCCCCACAAACAGCGAAAAGGCCCTCGCGTTAATAATCTTCTGCTCAACCAACTTATCCAGCAGTGTCGAACCCTTTGCCAACCCCACATGCGCATGCGAGCTATTTATACCCGTCGCAAAGTTCAGCTCAACATCCGGAATATCAACCCCAGCAATCGTCATAGTATCAGTCCCAGTGCCTCCCTGGCCCCGGTAGGCTTCACCCCAGACATCCGCAAGCTCGCTGGTACTGGGCACGGAGAATGCACCGTTGGGTGTCTGTGTCATTGTTGTGGACTTTGAGGGGTCGAGGAGTTGGTTCTCATAGCAGTTTTCGAGATATTTGTACCATGGCTTGGTGTCGTCGGGACCGGTGTTGTTACAGGCTTCGGCGAGGGGGAACCAGCTGGTGGTGAGACGGTTTGATAGCATAGCCCGGAAAGATACGCTGGGCTTGGAGACCTTTTTTTTTTTTGGTTTGGAGTATTAGTATTACCCATTGTTATCTTATTGTTTTGGTCTTTGGGTACTTACTGTTAAAGGCAATAGATAGAGATTTTCCATCTCGAGTGTTGGGTGTACAAAGTCAACCGATATTGTAGAATTGACCGGCTGAGTTGTTGCCCGAGGCAAAACAGTACTTGGGATTCTCATAATTATTGTTTTCTTGTTTTAATTGCCCTGTTTGTACGTTCGTGCAAAGAAATTCGAAGCAAGAAAGCAAGAAAGCAAAGGTAGAAAGAACCAACAGACAGACAGAACCAGAGATAATAAAAGTAGAAGCACCAAGGGTTCTTCTTAAGTACTCTCACTCAGCACGGGATCGCTTGTAAGTATTATTATCCACCATATAAATTAGGGCCCGTTGGATTGGCTAGGGTGGATGGATGGCTGTGTTGGCTTCTTCATGGTGATCATACAGTTGCTAAGGGATTACGCTCATGGGCAACTAGTATGAAATAGTTAAATGAAATTATGTATGTATGTGCCACGCCTAGTGGCAGTAACACGAGTGTTTATGTTACTCTGTAGTACGATAGCTATTAGTAGACTCCCCGAGGACTCTAGTATTAAGGCATAAGGGAGAAGACTTCTTCTTCTTCTTCTTCCTCTTGCCCTCTTAATTTTCAATTCCTTTCTATTTTGTAGATATTTATTGTCACGTTTCAGAATTGGAAAGGAAGGGTTGATAGGCCCATAGGGCTGATCTGTTCCTGATTGGTAAAATAGTTGGACCATCATGCTGGATGAAGTAAGTGCTCACCGGAGGTCCAAAATAGTGACAACCACCGATACTGCAGCATTCCAGGCAGGGGTCTGTCGCAGGTATGTCCTGTAACTGTATAGGTAGTATGGTCTTCGGAATGTTGAATTTTGACTCATGCAGGTGCCATCGTATCATATCCAGCCGACCATCGAGATAAAAAGCTGCCGCCCAGCCCTATGGAAGCCACCCCTTTCTTTTCTTTGATTTCATAGGGAGATTAAAAACCCTGTAATCCTCAGTGCTATAGGATTCAATTCGCCAGAACGAAATGATCATGGCGGCAATTAAGGACATAAAGTTCTTGGAATAAAACCGCAATTTGATACGCTGGATTACCAATATTCCGCGCGCTCTGTATGTACAGTAAATCAGCTTTGCAGTACTCTACGGTTGTGTTAATTATAAGGCAACAAAACTACATACCTACAGTACACCTTTAGTTCTGTAAATCCGCCTACACAAATAAGGTTGAGACATGCCTTTAGAGTCGGCAGGTCATTTGATCGGTTATTTCTGTACAGAAAACGGATATAGCTCCGATGCTACACCAAAATTGTCGAGTTGTTTAAGTTGCTGACTTCCTGAATTGGTTCTTCTTACCAAATGGCGCATGTAATCTAGCTTAATTTACCTATTCGGCCCGTGCTGTTATCTAGACTTGTAATAACTAAGCTATTTTGGTTTTGTAGACGACTCTTAGTGGAATTCTGCTCTAGTCGAGATATATTTTGATGTTCCGGAGTACGAGTCGATTTCTACTCTACATCATGTAGTCGTGAAGGGGCATATTGGAAATCTTGGTGTTCGACGGCGAACCTTTCTTCAAACCTGCACACCAGGTTTCACAAACTCAAATCGGTTTTCCTGTGGACCAGGAGAGTTTGATCGACTGCAGAATAAATCTTGTCCACTGTTCCACTGTTCCACTCCACATTAGAGTATCCGTAAAAGCGCGTCACGTCCAAGGGCAAAATCGAGTTACAAGGGCAAAAAATAAACTTTTCTCCAAGTATTATGAACCCTAGCTCCTATGCAAGTGGATTCACTAGAGTACATACACAGTCTACACTGCATCATACTCCCAGCCTAATGCCTGATCTTTTCGAATTTCACTAAGCTTTCTCCGGCGCCCCCCTCTTCAATGAGGTGCACGGCCACATTTGGTTCCCCGATGTAACTATGTAGGTACAATTGTAGATGTCGCCTGTGGTACAAACTCTGCCACACGCCATATAGGTGCTTCCTGTAGGTCTTCATGATGCAGGCAACTTTGTGAAGATAAATATAGCAAAAACTCTGCTGTAAAGCAAAGGACGGTTTCGGCTGTTACTCTTGTTTCCCCACGTGCCATGAGAGAAGTGACTAGGATGATATGCACCTAGTTGACGGCATTTATCACGGACCAGCTTTAACCGCCTGCTATGCAGATAAGCGGCATAAAATCCATCAGACGAATTTAAAGGTCGGAACTCGATATGTACCGAAGGCATATCCCGCGAACAGGGTTTATCTAGAGTATCTTCGTGATCCTTGCCATTAGGTAGAAGGGGGTGCAGAGCAATACTCCGAGCTACTTAATCCCTGAACTGCCATCTGAATTATCCCACGGAACCTCCCTGCCCTGAAGTTAGAGAAGGCAGAGTAGCGGCTCTGCGAATAAAGCACCTACTGAATCCCGAATATAGTGCCTGTGTTTTTCAATCTCCCAGCCACCGAGATTGATCCATGCGCAACTATATCCAAGACTATAAGTAAGCGAGCCGTCGATAACATATCGGATAGTTTATTAATGTCTTCTGAAGTATGGTCTGTATGCTGAGGGCGGGATTGTCGATCGAGACGCATAGGCGTTGAAACTCTCCGCATGAACATACGTCCCAATTTAGATAGCGGATCTAGAGATGACTGCCTCTAAGGGATTCCTTGGGTAGAGTAACGCCATTCTTTGGTCCATTGTATCCGGATCAGCACATTGTAATCTCCTTGGGAATCCAAGATCAACCGTTGTGAGAGGCAAAGAGGACGTTGTGAACTGTGAAACTCGTTCCCTGAGTTAGCCTGACCTCGACACTCATGTTAACCGAGTGATAAGTCTTGAAGCGTAATAGCGGTAGACCAGTTGCAGAACCGATACAATTTCTAACCGTACGCAGCAGGGACGCTTGAGTGGCTTTTGGCAGTGTCTTTCTCTTCAAAGAGCGCGTGTGTAGGAAAAGGTGGAGAACAGGAAAGAGGCATGATGATGGCCAAGAGGCGACGACGACGACGATGACAATAACGATGTCGCTCCTGTTGATGGTGATGAGGCGAGAGTATATGTAACTGACCCCAAAGACGTTGTCGAACAGTACCAGTTTTAGCACCTGTGGCATGAAAAAAAGTGCGGATCTGAGATCTGGCTGTACAAATTCGCTGTAGGCATCCTCCATTGAACTACCGGAAAGTGGAAATTTGCGTCACCATCTTAGGGTAGGTACATGTACATTATACATTGAAAGCAATGTACATATGGCCTTATGCACATGCAGTAAGCTACGCATACTACATGTAGATACATGTACATGTAAGCCCAAACATTAAATCGATCAATTGATTTTATCTGAAGTCGGAGCTAGGTGATGCCAGCCCAATCTATGCCATACATGGATCCAGCATAAAAACGCCTGGACTTGAGAATCTGGCCTGGGTATGGCCAACGTTTATATATGACCAGACTCTTATGGTTCCAACCATATGCCTGTGATTATTCAATGGCATGTAAATCTGACCCAAATTGAGCGATGCAAGCAGTACTGATTTCCTCCAACGGCCAGCTACACATCCGGCCTAGGTCCACCACCCGGTTTGCAATTGGGTCTCAAACTCTCATCTCAACTTCAACTTGATCCCCGCTGTTGCCTGTGCCGCATGCAGAATATCATGGTCATATGGGAGACTGGGAGGTATATAGCCGCCTTACGAGCGTTCTTTTGCCACAGAATCGCCATTGCAATGCTGCCTTAGAGCGGCATATTAGGTATCTACATGTACTGATATATCCCTACTATATCTATGGAGTCGTGCTCCAAGCAAGTAATATGTGGCCCTAGAGTTAGATGGGGGCGCGGTGGCGGTCCGGATCTTTTTCTTGGGCCAGGATGGGATATAGCCTCACCTTTGTTAGTTAAGGCTGGGCCAGGTTTCTGGGACTTTAGGACCGGCGCAGCTGGAGATCTGGGATATGAAGTAAGTGCAAGCCTCATTCTAGCCACGAAATTGAGTAGAGGGTTGTTCCCTGCATCGCTCGGGGTTAGGCTGGAGCTCATAAGAATTCACATCCTACAGAATAGCCTATATACATGTATATGAACAGTCGAGAGGATAATTATGATCACCAACTCTACATGTATTTATGAATGCCTACCTCGTGAGAAGGGGGCTTCGCGCGTGGGTTCATTCACTAGTAGGCTGCTCACGCCTCTCGTGTGCAGCCCTGAGATCCCGTGTACCTCTCTAAGAATTGACTAGGCCAGTACAGGGCCCTCCTACAAATTGCCAATTCGCGCACTAAGACTGTAGCGAGCTATCGATGTGCCATATATGTCGTCCAGAGCTTTCCTATAAAGGCTCTTGAGATCCGACAAACTGCAAATTTATGTCCGCTTGGGTCTGTTGAGGTTGGAATGGACGGTGGTCACGATGATACGAAAAAGCCTCGAGAGATTAATCCGCGTGACATTTCATGATTCAAATGATTTTGCAATTTATTTTGTCAGAGCTAAACAAACCCCGAACCAATTGCGTTATACTAAATCTCCACAATCTTATAAGGAGGGTTTTGTTTCTTCATTTCAGAGATTTTTTTTACGGATGGTGCCACCCACCAGGGTCCAGCTGGCGTGCCTCCTGCAAGAAAGGTTAAATTGTTAAATTTCAATGCCCTGTTAAGCTAGCTACTTCCAGAAAAGGGCATTTTTCTTTAAATTGCAAAGAGAAAGGCTTCGCTGGTGGGACAGAGAGATTGTATATATATATATTGTTGATATGTAGTACATATATACATGTATGTACATCCCTCACCCTGGGGTGTTCTGTGCCTCAGCCCGGGCAGGATCACCTCCGTCATGTTGTGCTTAGCAAAGGTGGAATCAAAAGAGCACTCTAATACCTAAAACGTAGTTCAACA